ATATGAATCTAGGAGCAAACTCTATAAACAGTCGTTCTAACGTGTTTGCAATTTACGGGCTGATTCAAGTAGCCTTTCTAAACGTTTTACAAATATGTGGGGTTAAACCAATTTAATTTGATTGAAAGTAATACCATGTAGAATAGTAAATTATAACTATTTGTGTTAAGTCAACATTTTTATAACTATTAAGAAGTTTAAAAAAAAAATTTAACGATAGAAGAAAAGACTTGGTAACCGCTAACCAGAATTAATAATAACCCCGAGCTCTTATTAGAACCTCATTTTTACTCATCAAGAAGTATCTGTAATTTTACAACTCGCAAGTGCAACAAATGAAGTTTAGGTTTCTATACTTGATTTAAAAAAAAGTAAAATTAAAGTCATTTAACCGTAAGTAACTCATGTTACGTGATGAAAACACTCATTAAGCATCTGAGGCATGCAAAAAGGACGAGTAGGGTTACTATTATTCTAGCATGAACCCTTATCATTATTATCATTGAATATGGTAGATACGTATACATTGACTAAACGGTCTCAATTAAAAATATGGAAAAAAACACGTGAGAAAGGGAAAGAAACAAAACGGTTATGAGCTTTAACCAGAAAAATATAACTAGTATTGCGCCTGCTTCAAGACACAAGATTCCGCACTGTGAAAGTTATATGTTAGTAATTATTGTTCTATGGTAATTATTATCTAACAGGATTATTATGCTCATGCGACCAAAGCATAAAAATTTAAGATTTGCCTTTTTTGGTTAAACATATATTTAAGACTTCCAACATTCGGGTGAGGCGCTGATACTGTTACTTTCTCCATATGAAGTGACTGTCGCTTATTATCCTTTATAATTACTTTTGCTTTACACCAGCTTCTAAGTTCTGCTTATATTTTATAGTCTTTCTTAAGTTCTATTTCCGCCTTTGCATAGTTTGATATATTTTGCATTAGTCCCACTCTTTTTCTAAGATCTTAGTTTTGTTGTCTATTTTTGCCCAATTTTTTTTTCTTCTTATTATATATATTAACTCTTTTATGTTCATCGTTAGGCTCATTGTTAAACCAAAAACTTTATCTATTACTATTATTCCCTATTAAATAGATGCTTTCTAACAACTAGATTATTTAATCGATTTTTAGGAAGATTAACCTATAGATGACCAATTTTTTAATGTGCTAATCCTACAGATTAGAATTTATAGTAATTACCAATAGCTATAACTCGGGCCAATCCAGATCTATAGACTGGGACCCAAAGCCGAATAAAAATAACAGGCGAAGTAACAAGAAGCAGAGAGCAAAAATCTCTTTATTTATCTATTTAATTGTAATGACTATTCTTGAGGATCGATCGAGTCAAAAAACTTAGAATACTCGAGCTCTCAATCAGGAGTGATCGCAGACTTATTACAAAGTTTTTAATCGATAAAGAGTCATTATTTTCTTGACATTAACAAACAAAAACTTGCTATATATATATGTGGTGCGGTTTAGAATCTTACCAACAATACTATTTGTATTCTTTAACATAATAAATGATACAAAATTACCGTTGTTATTTCCACGTGCGCTATACGACGCTAAAATTTAGTGGTTACTCAGTTATTGGTAGGTTAGGTAAAGTGAAGTCAATTCATAATTGACCAGTCATTAACACATTATTCGTCAGAGAACCTTACAATCTACAGAGTGGTAACATGTAATGTGCTTACCGCTAACGATGAACCTTTGTACGGCAGACCATGGGTCTTAAAAAGGAAGAAAACCGAATTATTTAAAACAATTTTTTTTTATAAATTCCAGCAAGTTGACTCTATCAAATACCAAAAAAACCATCAGCTTGAAATTTTAGCCTAAAACGAGCAAAAACCACAGTTCGTGTTTTTAACGCTCACATCACTGAGCATGAAATTTTAAACATTTGTCAAGATAAACCTTAACTTATACTAAGTTTTCGAGGAAAGCACCCCCAAAAAAATGTTCAGTTTTCAGCAAAACTCTCTATGAAACGAAGCAAGGTAGTGGTAATGGTACGACTAAACTTGGAATGCATATTTGATTGTTATAGACCATAATGCAATTGCATAATGCTCCTCTACGTGGATGGCTATGTACCTAAATAGAAGGTCGAAAATTTCATCTCCAGCAACGTAACTCTCTTTTTATTTTAGGGAATTGCGTATATTCTTAATGTTGCCTCCACGGCTAGACCTCGCAAAAGTAAAATGATACTAATATGCGTGTGAATTAAGTAGCCAATGAGAGCTACGAGGTCGAAGTATTAATAGACAGTCAGATCATAAATATTAATAGCTGCAATATGGTTTCTTGTTGATCAAGCGCAAAATATTATTTGTAGATTCCTTTAACTAGTTTATTGTGAAGCTTTATTTTGGTGGTTATAAATATTAAGTAATTAACTTTAAAGGGGTTATCAGAGTTAAAATGTGGTGAGTTTGCTACAAGTAATTCAATTGGAGTTAAAAATAATGATTCTAGTTGTAAAAAAAGGGCCACATGGTTGGTGCAAAAAAAAAAGAAGCTTAAAAAATACGGCAGTATAGATGCTTTGTAATAGAAGTAAAACTTTTTATAATAATATAGCTATGGGCTGGGTTAAATATCTCTACTAAATGTTCGGGCGACACTCTTTTATCAATAATTTTTTAGTTTAAATCCATGCAGTTTCTACTTTTTGTTATCAGAAAAAGGTGAATAATTATGGCAACTACGTATTCCAGAACCTGAAATTTTTTATTACAAGAGTGTTAGGTTTTTCTTCTGTGCAGGTTGGCGCTATTAATGGTAGCATTAGGCTCTTTTTGGTGCCTTAGACTGTTGACTTTCTCGGTGCCTTCGCGATTGCAAATGTACATTCTTTACCGGAACAACGGTTGCTTTTTGACGCCAGGACTTTATCGTAAAGTGGCTAAAAAAAATTTTTTTCTATATATTAATATTCTTGTCTACAGAAGCATAGTCTTCACAAGTTTCCGACGATTTCAATCTAGGTTACTCAACAGGTTGTCATCTGTTAACGGAACTCAAGCTTAGTATAGGTTCATTCCTTCTAGTCATGTCGCCCTCTACGACCTGAAAAGTCTTAATTTGATCGCTAACCAATGCAGCTACACTAAGATCACTGTAATGGTTATCACCTTTATGTTGTGACTATGGTACCTTTCATTAGATAAAATGTGCTCAGAGTAGGCATGTGCAGCGGAAAAAAGTTTTAGGGTGGTGGAACGCACCGTGCGAAAGAACTACTTTTAAAAGTGACAAAATGCGTCTGTATATGAAGTCCTGAGGCAGGTGCTATCTTCTCTCTACCTCTGGGCCAAACATTATGGTTATTAACGTGCCTTGAGCTTGATGCCTTTGCGTTCATTAACTAGACTTGATTTTATTCAAAGGTTGGCTTTATTGTGTTATTATTTGAACCAATTAACTGAATACTAACCTTCGCAAGCTTCTCATTGAGTACTAGTATCGCCATTCGAAACGGTTTTTTAATAATTTGCCTAGAACGAGCATAGCAATCCCTTGGTAAAACTTGGTGGCAAGATATCACCTGCCACAGAGCTAAGCCCACGACTTCTTTTTACTAATTTTAAGAGTGTATCTTCCGATACTAAGTATCAAGCAACCTATGATTCTCCGAAGTATAACATAACCCTGAAAATAGAGTTGAACTCAGGAAGGTACCATAGTCACAACCAAAATGTTTTGTAATCATTAACTTAGTCAACATGTAGCTGCATCAGCTTTCGATCAAAGTAAGATATTTTTATTTATAACATGTAACACAATGCTAACGTTGACTTTCTAGCTCTAACTACAAGATTGATGTAATCCTTCATTCTTAGCCTTTATGCTTTATTGTTCTTAATTAGGCTAATAGGCTTTATGACGGTTTGTCGAACTTCTATACCGTTACATAGAATTAATCCCGTCCAACTGTGGGGCGTCCTCTTTTGGAGTTGCGGTTTCGAACGTATAATTTGTAGAATAACCCAAATTCCTTAAAATCAATGGTACTCAATATTTCTTTTCGCCGTTGAAGACACCCCTCAGTCAGTATTGTCACTGCAAAAAAAATTTTAAGGCTAATTCCCTAATTTTTTATTATTAAAAACAAGTTTGTGACACAGCTTTTGCTATTAAATATTTTTGGTATAAGATTAGCACAAGACTAGCTGGAAAGTCTAGTGATCTAATTATTGGTGGATAACTTTAAATATTAAGTTATTCTCGAGTTTGTCTTAGTGTTTACGTTAAGGTTCCCTGGTTCCCTTATATATATGGGTTTTTTCTATTATTAATATTATTAAACCTTTGGGATATACAAAATTATCCTTTTTAACATCCTAGTATTGTCCAACTCCCAAATTCATAAAAGTTGCCAAGAGGTTAATATCGTGATGAACAAAATTTTTAAAAATAAGATTATATGTAGCTAGTCAAAAGCGCTCAGTAAAGAATGAAAGGGCTCAAAAATTTATTTTTGACTATATTTTTATGGTCAGCTAAAGCTCCTTAAAAAAATCTGCAGAAATAACCTTCGGTCCGATATACTACTACCCAAAAAATTTATACAATTTGCGTAGTTCTACATTGCCTTATACACTCATAGGGTGGAGTATTTTTCACGTTTCGAGAAAAAAAAAGCTGAAGCTTTAAAGAACCCCTTGCTAAGCGAGCTCATAACAAAGGCAAGGAATATGCGCATTAGCTTTTGAAAGCGTTATATGGGGATCAAGCAAATTCCCCTTTAAGGAAGTGCATTCGTTCTAAAGTAAGACATTTTTTACTTTGTAGTTTTTAACAATTCATCTTTATCTTTCTGGTTGCTAAGTTAAAGAAAATATTTAAACATTTTTTGCTGTACTATAATGACCAGACTTTATATGTTTTGTCCTCCCACTTCTTTACTTGTTCTATACCTATTCCTAAGATTTGATGTGTAAATCTGGTTTTTAATTATTTACTAAAGTCTACCGATTCATGATCTCAGTTTAGTCGTTGGATCAAAAGCAAATATTGGGAATGCCTTTTACTAGTTTTAATTAATTTCTTTCTATTCATGATTTTTCCGTGGTACAAATGTTACAAATATATTGAACTATAATGAACAAAAAAAAGGATGAAAAGGTATAAAGGAATTTAACCTTTTTCATTATAATTTTTTTTTTAATATAGGTCTACAGGCAAAAAGTTATCTATTTGATCTTTGTTTATTATGACTTTTTCTATATAATTTACGCAGGTTATTAAAAAGTATTTATTGCGGAAATATTCTCGCGAGATTTCTGTTGAACATCTAAAGTCCCCTAATTTCGATTTTTGGTCACATTCGGATCCGTGGGCACTAATTTTTTTTTTAGACAGTTTATTTTGCTATTCTTTCAGCTTTCTCGATTAAATAAATTTTTAACAGGTGCTTTTAAACTTGGTAGAAAAAATGTTTGTATACTACAAGTTAGTTACCTTTTGCGGTTTAGACTCTAAAACTTTTAAAGAATTTCTTGGGGAGGTTTACAGAAGTGATTTATAGAATAAATTATTGTAACTTTTATAATTATTTTTATTACTTGAGATTATAACTGGAATCCTTACCACAATTTCAACCATGCTTTCTGCGTGACACAAATGGTACAGTTCGTTTATTTGAAATACTATAGATAATATTACTATTCCGTTCTATAATATTAATTTTTTTTTTGTTTTAGATGTTTGCTATTATTTCTAAGGTGGACTGGTTTACTACTAAAGAGGTATTTGTCCTTCTAATTTCTGCCTTCTGCCATGATCTAGACCATCCAGGCACAAACAATAAGTTTCAGGTTAAATAAAATTAGAAAATAATATAGATTGTTTTGTTTAGTGATAATTCGTAAAGTGCTGGTTTCTAACGATTTTATTTTTTGCTAATTATACCTAACTACTGCATAATCTGAAAATCATATCTGCTTTTATAGCGTTTACTTTACTTTTTTTGTACCAATTGCGTAACATACTGAAGTGTTCTTTACTCCATTATACACTTTTTTCTTTTATATGATAATAATTACGATATCTTTGTATACTAGATTGCCGCAAATACTCCGCTCTTCAAGGAACAAGGGGGGATTTCCATATTAGAAAAACACCACACGTGCTTGACTAAAAGACTCCTTGAAAAAGTAGTGCACAAGACTAATTAATAAGTAAATTTATAACTACAAAGAAGCAGATGCAACTATTAAAAAACTTCCAAGCAAAAGAAAAGAAGGAAATCCTTTGCGAGATTGAACTTCTTATTCTTGCCACTGATATGGCCTTGTATTGCTTTTAATGGCAAATTTAGCATCATATTCTTTTACTATTTTTTTGAAGTCATATGGAATATTATAAGTCGTTAAAGGAGATTGTCGGTTCTTTTGATCGGAAGAATAAAGAACACCGGAGGAAGGTTCTTTTGTTTATTGCCATCTCCTCTTCCCTTTATTGGATGGCGTTATTCTGCTTCGTTAAAAGCTTCGAACTGCGCTTATCAAAGCCTGCGATATATCCAATGAGGCGCGGCCCTTTCCAGTGTCAAACCAATGGGCCGATTGTTTGTTAACAGAATTTTTTATGCAGGTAGTTTCATTTGTGATGAACAGTACTGTATAGTCCAGACGGTGTTGTTATTTAGGGAGATCAAGAGAGCCATTTGGGCCTACCAGTCACGCCCTGCATGGACAGGCACGCTGTCGATAAAGGAATCTCACAAGCTCAATTTATTGAACAGTTTACGCTTCCTTTGTTTGAAACACTGAATCAGGCGCGCCTCCAGCTATCTTATTGCGCTCCACCCCTTATGTTCATTGTAATACCACTTAGGTTCTTCCGTTGGCCCCCTTTGTGACTAATATAAAGCGTAACCTTCAGCTCTATAGAGAGTTAAAAGAGGAGATTTGATTAAAAAATTAGCATTGTTGGTGTATTAAATTCACAGTGTTAAAACAGTTTGAGGACTAACTGGGAAACGAGTCAAGTTTTGTTCGGTTCACTTAGACTTAGTAATAGTTACTGAACTATGTCTACATTTTTATACTAATAAAAAAAAATTTACAGAAGTGCTATCGTTCAAGACCATAATATATAACTATGACCTTTAAAACATTTTAAACCCCTTTTATGTTAGTATAAGAATATTAATAGAACAAAAATGTAGGGAAAAAAAATACATGGAACTCGGAGTGTATGGAATAAACCGCGTGTTACAGATAATATGGTTTATTGTAGTTTTTAATAACCATGGGGCGTTTTGCTAGAAAACACCTTTCTTTGTTGTACCCAAAGTCAAGAGAGCAAGGAAGTGTTTTACAACTTTGATGCGTTAGTTTTAAATATTTGACATGTAAGTACTTACAGGAATTATTTCGTAACAGCCCCCCCTTCACCGTTTAACAATATTCGGCAGAGCTTACCAAATGATGTCTCTTAGTGCATATACAAAGGAAATGCGTCCTTGAGCGCATGAGGATAGAAAGGTGAACGTAAATTTGTTTGTAAGTTTTTCTTAATAGGTGTTTACTTAACTATTTAAAAAAAAGCTGCACTTTAACCGCACTACGCTTATTTACAAGAAAGAAGGATTTAATGTCCTCCATACAAGCTCAGAGCTCCGTATTCTTAAGTTGACTACAACTTAGTTTCCTGTATAGCTGCTATATGTAGGTGGGGTTAAACGCTGTATAATAGATTGAAAATGTTTAAAAAACCTGATATTATAAGGTTCTATGGTAACATTTTTTTTTTTAACCAGAAAAGTTTACTTTGTAAATCTCAGAGAGCCTTTAACACAACCATGTTTAATAACACTTATTGCTAGAAGCTCTTATTAAATGGTTGAGCGTAATTATAGCTTTCTAAAATTACAATTTTTTAGATATTAAAATCCCTTACGATTTAAAAAATAATGCAAAAGAATTAGAGAACGAAAATTATTTAATGACTAAAAATCTAAAGATTCGGTTAGGTGGTAACTATTCTTGGTTCTTATACCTTTAAATCCTTTTACTGGTGCGCGATCACATTGCTTCCTAGGTTACGTGTCCCCCTCTAATCTTTCTATTGCGATTTAAAAACCACCGTAATATTTTTTTTCTACTTTTAAAATAGCGCTTATAGTATCCTTTTTTAAAATATTAAATAAAAAAAAATTTTTTTTTAGAAGAGTTAGAATGCAAACAATAATAAGCCTAAAATGACGTGGTTCTTCTAAAATGGATGATACAGTGATAATTGACAGAAAGTGATAATAAAGCTACCAGAATGCAAAGCTAAGGAATTTATGAAACAAAAATAAATTAATGAGTAATCAATAGATTCGTTGTTAACCAAACCTTAATTATTACACTTATTTAGCATGGAACAATTTAATGACCAAACGAATAACCATTCTCAATTATTACGCTTCAAAAGGTCTAAAAACGTTAAAAATATAAAGGGCATCACGAATTATAACTGCATGGATAAGCCCGGGAGCATAAAAGCTGTATAAGCTACATACAATTAGTAATTTTTTAATATTATCATATGAACATAATGATAAATAAGTAAAGCCAGAATCCTTGTAAAAAAATTATAATATAATAAAGGTTTATGAAATTATTGAAAGAGGCTTTTATTTAAATGGTGAAAAGAAAGTATCGTTATCTCTATGAAAATTTAGGAGGGGAGGTTAAATACGCAACCATCAAAGACCTATTGAGAGAGTTTTCTTGGAGGGTGCGGTCAATGCTTCTAAACGCTGAGCTACAAACGACCACTCTCAGGCCCAATATAATTAGGTAACGTATTTAACTTGTTAAACTCTCTAATTAGGGTTTATAACATAAGCCCGCTTACTAACAACGAGGCAGACGTTAAACCTGCACCGCTGAGAAGTGAAGGAATGCACTTTCCAATTGTTAGTTTTCAAGCATTTTTTAATATTAAGTGCTAGATCTGGTCTTTACATGAATATATGACAGAACGCAGATAGTTTTTTCAGTGTACGTAACATCTTTACGGGATAAATCAAAACCCATTAAATTTTCAGCTGGTGTTTGACGGTATTACATACAGGTTAAACAATTTCAAGTTAAAGGGATCCGCTTGCTAGGACCACCCTTAATGTGTCTTAGAGTGAGGTTTTGTTGGGTTGTCCATGTTTCCATTTTGGTTCTGGTATTTATTTCTTCTACTAAATCCTAGTAATTAAGTTTACTAGTAAGTTCTGAACCACTTTTACCCTTAATTCTTAATGTCCTTTGGTTAAATAGTTTTGCTACATTCATTAGTTTGTGTTGTTAGTCTTTCTGTATCGTAAACTTTAACGCTTGTTAGCCCCATAAAACCGTTACGAGCTATTATGAACTTAGCATTGCTTGAGATATATATCCTATTAATGTCTAATTAATGTTAATCGTAATGCAACTTATAAAGATAAACGGTTTTTTATTAATTATTACTTACGTTAAAAAAACTAAATACTTTTGAAATTAATGGAAATTTCTCTTTATGTTTCAAAAAGTCTTTAGAACTCATAAGAAGGTTAAGAAGTTTTGGGAGGTTTTCCTTCATTATATTTGGGCTTATATTTAGACAGTTTTTCATACTTTCATTGTTCATTTGTTTATCGTTGTCACAGGTAAAGCAAATAAGCTCATCTACCAAACTAACCATGCTCTCAAGGCAACTTTGGTACATACTGTCCATAAAAAAATTGTCCGACTTTAGTATATGCTGGTAAGTTTTCTTTGCAAAGTTTGAGTAGCTTTCAAGATCTTTTACTTGTTGACTACTACAGCAAGAAGATTTAACATCGGGACAGTTTCGTCGGACGGCGTCGATGTCGACATCATTGTTGACTGTAGAGTTAAAAGTTATTTTGTAAGCTTGATTACAACTACTCTCAGCTTTGGTAATAAAATTTAGCTCAGCTAGTAAGTCATCGGGTGAATTGAATTGTTGTTTTAATGAGCCCAAAGACAGTAGAGCTGAAGCAGCAAAGAATACATATAAACGCATCTCAAAGACGTGAACGCTAAGAAAGAATATGTGTTTTTACCGGAAGAGGCGTCTATAAATACCTGCTACTAACTATTTTATCATATTTAGATTATATATAAAGCACGATAAAAAAGAAATGATTATCTTTTCGTGTTAAAGTTTTAGCTTTTTAATATTAATGGTTTGATATTCACGAATTGTATAAATTTAAAAATGTATAAAAAATTTATATAAGAGATTGGAAAAGATTTAACCAAACTTAAAGAAACACTTGTAGTTGCAATCATAACGGTTAATCTATATAGTAGTAAGATTATTCTCGCCCTGGCTAATCAAAATAAACTAATATTTTTGTAAAAACGATATTTTGTTTAAAAGAGATCACATCTGTATAGGTAGTTTAGAATTTCTTTTTTATTTAAAAATTTATGGATAGCCAAGTTATTAAGGTTATTAAGCTGACTGTGTACCCCCGCTAAATAGTAATAGCAAATTTTTATATAATTATCTTAATTTTATGTTACGAAGGTGATATTTTCACTAATAGTTAAAGTAAAAAAATTTAGGGTAAATTCTTTTTGCTGTACCCTTATAAAAAGAGCTAGAATTTCTCGCACTATATATATTCTAATAACTCCGTAAAATAAAAGCTACATAATCGAACATTATATTAGAAATAAAACTGCAGGGATAAATGATAAATGGAAGTATATAGAATTTTAATAAAGATAAATTAAGCAGTTCTTTAGGAATTCGTAATGACTATACTTTAATTTTTATATGTTAGATTATTAAAACTCTACAAACATTTTATTTAAAGCTCCTTTTTTGCAAATTTTTAAGTCGAAACATATGTTTTTTTTTAAGTACTTTCTTAGCCAAAGTAATATAAGCAGTTTGTGAAGATTAAACTTTTATAATAAGTGTTTAAGTTACTGCAGAAAATATTAGATAAAAACTTGAAAATGCATAATTTTATTCTTGCCAAAGATTAAACAGTTGTTTAATACATCAGATGGGATATATTATAGATATGTGTTGATCGCTGGATTGTTCACTGCGTTTGGTTAAGTTAAGAAATCTGTGTAAAATTACAGGCGCGGAGCAACCTTTTTTTGGTTGAGGCTAGAATCATGAGTTTAGTAACGTCAAACAAAAAACTATAATATTATAAAAATACTGAACCAAGAGTTCTCTTTACTACATCTTATAGCCCCTGCTTTGGAAAGCTTCAGTATAAATTATAAAGAAATTGTTAAGCAGAACGTAAAATTAGCGAGCAAAAAATTCGGTTACATTGGCATTAACTTATTCTGTCTTTGATGAAAATAGTTTGTAGTATATGGTGTACATGATATAACACTAAAAATAGTTAGTATAATTTAAGGTTAGAAACAAGGTTTTTAAATAGTTATGGTTATTAAAAAACGAAAGAAATACTAGGTTTTGACCCAAATCTTAATTTTCGCTGTAATATTAAACCAACCGGCCCTATGAATTGAGTTTTTCAGCATCTACAAAAAAAAAGGAGAAAAATAAAATGCCTTTTTTTTCTTAACTTAAAATGCTATGCAGATTGTTAATAAACTAATTGAAGACTGTTTAGCATAGTATTGAGGACGAATATTACGTCTATGTCGAGGATTGGCGGGGGTAGCGCAGGCGTCTCATGCCCAGTTTTGGCACGTTTCTGCCAAGGGTGTTGAAGATCTGTAAAGGCCACCTTAGGGCAGGGAAACTCTCCATTTCTTCTCTTTTTTTTTTTTTTAATAACCTTCATTTGAGGTTAGAGATAACTTAACTACTTAGATTATCTTCCCCTCACATTGAAGGATGTGCGGGTTATTAAACACTGAAAAAAGTCAGTCGCTCGCTTTTTTAGCATGGAACCTCTTATGCAGCTTACTATTTATTTCTACAATTAAAACAAAGTTTAGGCCAAAAATTGTGTCCAAATTTTACTATTGGAGTATAATTTCATGATTGCGATCATGTTCTTTTGTAGCGTATATTGGTTCATTATTTAGTTTGTTATAATTATGTTTTTATTAAAATGGCACTTTTTTTTTTTTTTGAAGTAGACTGCACTGATCGCCTGTTGTTGCGTGAATTTATGTTCGGGTTATGGAGGGGGCGGGTTATCCGCCGCCCACGTGACGCGCGTTAGCGCTAGTTTTTGTTTGTTAATGGCAAGAAAATAATGACACCTTTTCGGTTTAAAGCTACTTTGTAATCTACGATCACTCCTGACTGGGAGCTTGAGTATTCGAAGTTTTTGACTCGATCGACCACCAGGAACTGGCATTTATATTAAATAAGTTGTGGGTCGGAGCACTTTTAGCATGGCGGTTGAAAGCTAGGGTTTGAGGATTTAATTTAACCAGTAAAAAAAAATTCTAAGGTGCTATATTAGTTGGACGAGAAGACGGCCAAGAACCTTTTTGAAAGTTCAAGGTTTCCAAGTCGTGAACTCGGTCGAGTTAAAAAAAATTTATAAATAAATAAATACATTCGGTTTACAAGGGTGAAGACTTCACAAGTAAGGGGCTGTTGTGACTATGGTATTAACTTATAATACTCAACGGGGATATACAACTAGTAATGGTTGTTACAATTGTGAATAGTATAAGTTTATCAAGTTTTAATTATACTCTACTGCACCTTTCGAGCTTGAAGTTGTAGCCTCGTAAACTTTAGTTTCAAGTAACAATATAACATTATTCTTGCCATATGAATTAAAGTTTATCATTTAAAACACATTTATATTAGGAAATATTAAAGTATTTATGATCTTGATAGCAGGTAGGAAATTTTATTTGAAACTACTTATTTTTAGACTTATATAGAAGTTTATTAACTATATATCTTAACCCCCTTTTTTTTTGGTTGTATTATTTATATTTTTCTATGGAAAAAGCTGAAATTTACTATTTGATTTAGGAAAGAACTGTTAATTCTCCGGTTTTGAAACGCTTATCTTTTAAATCAAGTTCGGGTGAAAGCTTAACTCCAGAAACTAATAAGAAGCCAAGAATCGATTTAAGCGATAAAAAGGTATCTAAAAGTAAGAAAAAACCCGTAAAGAGCAAAAAGAGAAAAAAAGAGAAAGAGAAGCGTAAGAAACCCTTGGAACATCAAGAAGTTTCTTCTAAACGAGATACCTTTGAATTATCTAACAGTAACTTTGACACAGAGGCTGAAGGCGAAGTAAAAAAAAAATCTATTTTAAGTTCTGGGATATCAGTTTACTATAATTATTTAGGTAAGGCAACTACCTTTGGTTAAAGAAAGACAAGAATGGATGCTTGACAGTATGCCACCTCCAAGACGGGGTTGCCTCCCTTTCACCAGCAATAGAAATCCAGAAGAAGTTTATGCTTTACCATATTAAACATTTAATGTGTGAAGGTACATATTATTTTAGTTTGGGCCTCAAACAATTGAACACTACACTTTCGGAGGTGCTTCAGCTGAAGGTATTTGCAAGAAAGTACAAATTATTTTTCCCGTTTTTTTTTACTTTTTAACATTTTCCGTAGCTTACTGTACGTTAAACTTTTTTACTTATGACACTTTTGTCATACCATTATAGACTAAATTAGCTCTCACTTCTATCTATTATTTTATTGTTATTAAATAATATATTTTTTATTTTTATGCCGCATTACGAGTGTTTATTTTTTTTTAACTTATATAATACTAACTTATTAAAGGTATATTTCTTTCTTCTTTTGTAAGTATTCTGGTAATTTTATTATTATTATATAATTTTATTTGTATACAGAGGAACCATCTATTAATTCAACTTTTGAACCTGATCGTTTCAAGTATTTAACAACTGTTTATAATAATTTTACTTATGTATATGATTTTCTCGCTGTCCGTTGCTCTAAATTAGATAACTTCATGCCTTTCTCTTTAAAATTATTTTATAAATTGTTTAGAGTTATTATGTTTCGAAAAAAATTGTTTTATTTTAATAGTTTACTTCGTTATTAAATATATTAAATTTTATTATCTTTTTTTTTATTTTTGTTTTATTAAAATTTTTTTGGCAGTTTTTTTACATATGAGCTATTGACCTTTTTTAATTTTTTTTAATTTTTAATTTTAGTTTTTTTTTTATTAAAATTTTCTACAATTTCTCTTTAAAAACGTTATTGCACATTCTCTTTTCATTTTGTATTATCTGAACGTTTACTATAAATTATTTTTTTTCATTTTATAATTCATTTTCCTTTATTAGTTTCGCACGTTCATTATTTAAACAACTTTTAATATATGTTATTCTTACTATTCAACAAAAAACCATTATTTTGTATTTATTCTTATTAATATACTTAAATAGTCTACACTTTAGTTATTTACAGATTGCAAAGCTATTACTAATATTTTATATAACCTAGAAATTAATTTATTAATATTTATGTTTTTTGTAATTTTCGGTTTGTACTTTTACTATTAGCATCACTGACCGTCTTATGAATTCGTTGAACGAGAACAACCAAAAACTTGACGTACTCTTAATAGTAATATTATTATTACTATTATTACTGCTATTAACAACAAGTCTCCGCCTGATATAAGCAGTCTACAGAGTCACAATACCGGTAATATACTTAACTTTTTTACGTCTTTGTGCTTCTATATATTCTATTTATTGCCTTCATAAGAAATTGCATCGGAAAGTCCACGAGACTCGGAAAAACATCTGAATTTTTCGAGCTTGAACTTGAATCAGTTGAACGCGCTGGTATTGGTCGTCCACGCTGCATTATTGCCTTTTTTAATATTTTACATATTATGAAAAGCTTATCAAAGCCGAAATGCAGCAGGATACCAGCTCCGTAAACAAACTACGCCAACAAATAGATGAAGTGAAGAAAATAAACAACCATTTAAATGCATCATACTATAGCAATGTGTTTATTTATTAGTATTATACAGAAGAATATATTATAAATATATATTATCTGTATACAAGCCACCAACTACTTCGGTTAATGCTGCTGAGAATGAATCTCTCTCTAACTTGGTCAAGCAAGAAAAGTTAAAGCCAGTAGTTATTATTATTATTATTACTGTATTACTCTTGCTAAGAATCAAGAATGGCTACGACTACGACGGAGAGCTAGTGTATAATGTTGGAAATATCAATGATTCCTACGATTGGTTGATTAATTATTATGATTACTATTATTTACTATTCATACATATATAATTCTCCTGAAAGCGATGTCTTCATTTCCATGCAAAAGAAGCACTTATTAAAGAGGGCAATATCAGGTGTGCCGCATTCCTTTATTATTTTTGAATAGGAACGTCTTTGTAATTCACTTGAAAGATTATAAAAAGACAGAAAAAATTATTGATGGGAAATGCAAGTTTTGTTGTTGCGGCTCAAACTTTCCCCACCACTCCGTTATTTCTTTTGGTGCGCATAACAGCAGCGCGTATCATAATTCATGTGTTCATTTTTTTAGGAATACACTTTTACTTGTGCGTCCCGAATCACGTGGGCCTTGTTTCTGGTATATTTGCTTCAGGAGGTGGATGTGTCCATATGCAATCTATATAAACTTTGAAGGCCACTGTCTTCTGGTGCCGGTGGACCACGTGCCTGCTGTGCGCGATCTGGATTCCCTCGCACAAAATGAATTAAGGGTAAACTTTGCATATTGTATCATTTAGCGGATTTCTAAAAAAAATTCGAATTTGAATTATGAAGATCTGGAAAAAGTATATAACGAAAGCATTTGTCAGTCAAGAGCAACTTCCTATATTCTTTGAGACAGCAATTAACTTAAAATACAAGCGACACGCATTTATCGAGGTGCTAAATCTTTAGATTACAAACATTCAGTGGAGCTTTTTATAATAATCTGCGAAAGGTCATTCCGTTGCCCAACAACGAAATCGGCTCGCAGGCTTCTATATATTTCCAGGTTGAACTATATGCATTGCAAGATTTGTCTGAATCTTTTACAAAAAGTTTACGTACGCGTGTGTCTGGCTCTGTCTGTAGCATGCTTACCTACATGTTATTCTCTTAACGGCCTCGAATGCTTTAGAAAGCCCTGCAAGAGGCGGGCTCCGACTGGGCCCAACACAGGAAGCTTCTTAAGACATCTCCCAACTTTCCCGTTCGCAGCGCTATACCTTCTGGATTCCCTTACTTTCACGTGGAGTTTGCCTCCGGCAGCGGCTTTGCTCGCGTTATAGATACTGAAAAAAAGTTTTCAGTATTTTTTGGTAAGGTTGGCAAATGTACTTATGCTATTGGTTTATTTGATGTTGATGCACTTCACTATGGGCTTAGGAAGTAGTCGGTGGCCTCTTGGATTTGACTCCGAACTTGTGGAGGCATCCGCCATCGCAAACATTTGCCGAACTGAATTCGAAAGTGAAATGGCTTGTAATTCTTGTTTTTATAAATTAGTGTCTACTCTCTTCGTAAAGGTTACTGAATTTAAAAACTTTTGGGATCCCTACAACTGGACCAAAACTCTTTCAGAAAGTTAACGTTTCTGCCAGTCGTTATACTCTTTAATAAAGTTTTGGATTAATTCTTAGATAGATTTTAACGTTTATAAAAGTTTTGATAGTTTCTTGTTTTAGATTTAGATTAGAGATCAACTTTTATCTAAGATTTGCGGGTAAAGTCTTATTTATGTCCTTCCCTTCAATATTTATTACTTCTTTACCAATATCATTATAAGAAAAGTTTTGTAAACTCAAATTAATTTACAATTCGTTTTACGAAGACTTAACACGCGCTTTAAAAGTTGATGTTGGTTACGTTTTTACAACTTATTACTAATAATTCATATCAAATAAGAAAAAGTTTTGGTAAACCTTCTATAATAAAAGTTTTTAATAACTTCAAAGTATGAAGTTCTACTTACAAAGAAACTGTACCGCAAAAAAGTTACGTGGCCCTTACAAAGTCTAGCCTTATCATAAAACGAACAGCAAAAGTTACTTTGCAAGATTTTCTCATTCAATAACTTGAGAATCGTTATAGCCGCTGTCTTCTATTGAATGTAAATTACTTCGGCGTTAATTATTCTATGGAGTTTCTTGGCGCTGCCTGCAGGATCATCTAGGCAGCTTGCCACGGTAAGAAAGCACTATTAAATAAAATTTTCTATCTTAGTCGGGTCTGGTAAAGCAGTAGCCTTTTCTTTATTTTGTTGGCAGCTGCTTAGAGTAATAAATTTTATTTCCAGCAAGTAATTATTTTTTAAGTGATTCTTATTTTAAGCTCACTTTAAATAGAAAACAGTGTCCCCGTTAGAAACTGTTGCTGCGAGTTAGTATTTTCCTGACTTTTTTTTATAACAGTTATAAAAAGACCTAAATATTATAATTTTTTTTAGTACAGTTAACGTCCGTCGATTGTAAGACTGGGGCTAAAACAATTTATTCTTGGGTTTAAAAAAACTTACTATGTACACAGCTGTTAAGTTTGTAACAAAATCTAAACACTTAAAACGAATACTCTACCTCATAAAAAGGCTCAAGAAGTCACCAATATTATATTTATAAAACAAGTCTAGCGTTTGAGATCAACCGTAATTATAAGTAACTTCTATAAACTATACGTACATTCACTGTGCAACTTTTGACTTCGACTTAATAGTAAAAGCTAACTCTACTTTCTTTTTTTTGCCTTTAAATTAAAAATAATAATTAATTATTATTAGAACATTATAGGTAAAAAATAAATTAATTTAATATTGCTAATCTTGCCTGGTTAGCGGACATTAGTTTCTGAGTGGCAGGTATCTCTACTTGGTTTAAAAAATGGCTAAAACCGTTTCTCCAGTTAATCTGTTGGTGGTAAGCAATACTTCTTTACTCCTCACAAGAGAGTAGTGGATCAAAAGCTTGAGGGGCAAGGGGATTTATTGTATTAATTCTTTAGCGCTATGGGCAACCTTTAAAGTTAATCTTTGTAGAAGTATTTAAATGGCTTTCATCTTCAACTGGCCTCAGTTTTCGGAAGAAACGCTCTCTTTAGCTAAACTGTCTTTAGCAGAAGCGATTAATTCCGGTGAAAAGCCCGATAACGTTGTAGGAGAAATTGTCGTTAGCGACGTTAACTTTGGAGTTATCGTACTATTTCTATTTGTCTTTTAAATTCTATCTTTTAAGAACCGTTGAACAATTTAACCAAGCCGCCCTACCTTGAATTACTGGAAATATGTGAAATTTCTATTAATCGCTTTAGGGGCCTTTTCAAAGTACAGTATGATGGTGATTTCCATTTAGAACTAACTTTAAAAGTTAGTATATTTAATAAATTTATCTAAAGAACAATTTTATAATTTTTTTAGTAAAAAAAGGTTTAAATACAGTAAATTTTTTATACCAATTAAAGGTTCAAGTAAATCCCGTGAAAGCCGAACACAATAAACCGCGAAGTATAAGAAAAGTGGGCATATTAGCTGCCAATAAGCCTTTGGTTTCTCCGACTTGTTATTTTCTTTTAAAACAAATAATAATAAAATAACGGTCTATAAAGATCTTGCCAGTCAAAGTTAAGTTGAGCTTTATACGTTTATCAGGTTTTTCCGCCACAATTAATATCGTTATTTATTCAATTTAAATTTATTAGAATAAATTTGTTTATATAATTAAACTTTATATATGTATAACGCAGAAAACGTCTCGTAAGTAAATGTAAATTATTTTGCTTTGTACAAAGTAAAAGCATTTATTTTTTAAGATCTTTTGCACTATGAACAAGAAGAATAAAAATCTTGCTTTTGCTTCGCCGAGTGAACAGTTTTAAAAAGAATATTAAGTTCTCTAGATTTTTTAATTAAAATTTTTTTACCTCTTTATACTTTAAAATCTACAAATATTAAACAATAATAGTTTTTTTAAAATCAACTTTCAATGATAATTCTAATATAATATTAAAATCTGCATAAGCATTAAAATTTTTTTAGAACAGTAGTTTTTTTTAAATCAACTTAATTTTTATTAATATAATATGTAATAAAAGCTTTAAAGTTTTGAAGCGGTTTTTAAATTTTGGTTTTTATAATTAAATTTTTTAAATGATAAACTCAAAGTTAGTAAGGCCATATTTAATGTTATACTATTATATGTTTTCTTTGTGTAATATTATAAAAAAGATCTTTTCACATTTTTATTTTGGGTTGTTACATTGTAAAGGCATCGCAATTTTGGAAATTGATGATGTGCGCGGCGTCATGCTTAATTTTAAATACGATCCTCTTGTGGGATTGAAAGTTACTCGATTTTTCTTTTAAAATTTAAAATGTTTTATAAACAAATTACTGTTTGGAATTAAGGTCAATACTTCTTTTGATAACGAACCGACCATATCGGAATTTTTATACAACTTGCTTAAAGGTTTGTAATTTATACTTTTTAACATTTTAAATGCAGTTTTCTTTTAATTTTTATTTTATTTATAATTTTTACACGCGTCATTAATTTTTTTAAAAAAAAGAAATGCTTAGAAGTTGGCTCCTGGAAGATCTCCCGGAGTTGGTCTATACTTTATCAAAGAAATCTTTACTAACTTTGGTTAGCAATCTAAATAGTTAAATAAGTAAAATCGCCTTTTTATGTTTTTAGTAAAAATTATTATAAAAGGATCTTCATTTATGGTATAGCGACTTGTTTTACGAACTTTATATAATTTTCGCTTTATTTTAAGTGTTTAGAAAATAAAAAATCTCACCAAATTTTTAGTAACCCCTTATATACCTCCTTTTTGTTTTTAATTTTTTCAATTAAGTTTACTAAAAAAAATCTAAAATTACATACTTTTTACAAAAGAAATTATTATTATTCTGCTCTGCATAAAAAAGTAGTAATTTACTAAATAATAAACTTTTATAAAATCGGAAGGAAAAGAATTAGTATTAATTATATAATTGTAAAGAAATTAAAACTTAATTATAAATATATTATATAAATTTCATAATGTAATATAAAAGATTTCAAGGATTTAAATTTTTCTGTAGTCGAACTTCATTTTTAGCTTGTTTTATAGAATATAAGTGTTCTTTTTGATTAAAAAGATCCAATTTATTTATAAGAAAAGGCTGCCTTCACTACTATTTTTTTATGTGTATTAATTTCTTTATAAGTATTTGTCTTTGTGCAACTTGAATATTTTTTAATAATTTCTTTATTTCTTCTTAACTGCTTTAATATTTTAAATACAAAAAGTTTTAGTTTTACGTTTTTCAAAGTTTTTTTTTTGAGCAACTAAAAAACTTTAAATTAATTTTATTTAAAAAACAATTGAATAAAAATTTGTATGTATTATATTATGCAAACGAAAATGTTTGTATCAATTATGCTTTCTTTATCAAAGTTCATTTTAAAAAAATTTTTTTTTGAAAGATAATATAATTTTAGTATTTAACTTTATAAAATATAAAGAATGAAAATAAAATCATAAACGTAAATTTTTATTTTAAATGTTTATATTATATATACAAATTCCTATATTTTTTATAAAGTGAGTATTCTTGATAAAATTGTTTTTACCACTTCTGTTAACTAATAATATTATATAACAATCTTGAGAGCACTATTAAATTTCACCTCCCTTTGTTAGGCTGAAGATACGAAGGAGAATTGTCTGCAGAGAAAGTAGAAAACCGCCTTCTATTAATCTTATCATAACCTTTTACTATACGCATATGATATATACACATAGCACATAGTGTTTTTTTATAAATACGTATTCTTTGTAAATTTCGTTGATACTTTATAAAGAAAAGGAGCCGATGCAGAAATTAAGAGTGACAATCTAGAAGTAATTATATTTAAATTTAAATTGGTATTTTGTAATATAAAAAGATTAATATGCTATTAACAGAAGCGAATTAAAGCTAATTTGACGCCTTATTTGCATACTAAGAAGTCAAAACACTCTCGTAAACGAAGATTTGAAAGAAAAATTGCAGGTTGTCTTTTGCGCTTATTTCTTCCTCGCAAAACTTTAGTAAATGTAATTCTAATTCACAATCTACTTCCCTTAAAAAAAAAGTAAAGCACTATAATTATAATGTTTGTAGATATTATTATTATTGCCACCTGTATTGCAGCGCTGCACGAATCGAACACCACGATGACTCTGCAGGCAGAACTCCCTATTAAGCTGCTGCAGAAAAGTTCGAATAGCGAAGACGAGGGAGCAGGCGGTGAACTTCACTCAGAAAAAATGCTGAAACGGCATAACAGTTGGGACGGATGCACGGAAAAGCGCGGAGATGCCGCGCTGGATTGCACAGTCGTCCGCAGGTGCCGGCCGGCAATAAGAGTAGGCGAGTTCAGAAAAAGATCTACAGAAAATTTGAAGTTTCGAGGTTTTTCGTATATCTCAATAAACTTCATAAAAGCGCTTACTAAATGCAAACTAATTATGTGTTTTCTTATATACACGTGTACAACTGGTTTTCAATAGCGGACTTATGTTTAAAAACTATATATATACAAACTTTATATAATTATACTAATAAAATGTCTTTGACTAAATTAAAAAAGTGTATACTTTTAAAAAGCTATAAAGATAATGAGTTTTGGAGAAAAAAAAACATACATTTCACCTTGCAGAAACAGATGAATATTTTTTTTCCTTTTACCAGTATCGCATTATATATTTAGTAACCCTATCGTACTTTCCAGTTATGAATTATAATCTCTATACAATTTAACGCAGGAACAGGGCTGTTAACGTGCCGAGTGCTGGGCAGAAGTTATAATCCCGTGTTTATAGAAACATTAACGCGGAGAACACAGCAACGCTCGAAAGCACCCGCGCAGGAATAAACTTTGTATTTATAGTACATATTTCAAAAGGACGTACTTTTCTTGTTAACTGTAACAAATTGCGGACTTTATAAAAAATAGTGAAGAGTCTTTGGAGAGCAAACTTTGCAACCCATTTTATTTGTAGTAAATAGCGTGTATTTATATCATGTGTCACTGATGCCATGTGCTACAATTAACGCATGCTTGTGTCACGTGACATCGCACATGTCAATTTTCATGGTTTTTTTGTTCTTAATTAAAAGTTAGTATTTCGTTTTTATGTATTTTTTTAACTTTTTTATTCGACTGATTATAATTCCTAGCACGTTTGCGACCATTTCTTAAAATTTTTAAAAAAATAACTACTACCATTACCACTCCACCCACTAGAGGAAGTGAATATTAATATATTACCAGAAATGAACCAACCCGGACAACAAATTTATTGATTAAAATATTGCGTTTAATTATAATTTTTGCGATTGAACCATCAAGCGAAAAAGTTGATATTTTGCAAAGATTCGGGTAAGTATATTTGTGATTTGCACAGTTCCTCTGGATAATCCGGATTGTACAGATAATCTTGACAATTCACGAGCAGAAAAAGAAAACATCAAACTTTCAAAAACTATTATGTAACCACCGCAAAACCTTTACTGCAGCCGATACTTTTATGAAGTTCGGTAGGAGCATTTCTTAAGTGCAGTGGGACGGGCGGGCATGGACAGTTTCTAACAAAGTCCGCCGCCTGAAAAAAAAAGAAATAAAAAAAAATCATTTAGATAGATCCATAAAAATCTTTCCTTCTCGTATGCCTTATACACCTCCACAGATTTTGGAGCTCTGGAAAGATAAACAACGCAGTGCGCTAGCATAACTTTGCACTCGGGCATCCCCACCATCTGCACAGCTAAAAAGTAAAAGCAATTTAAAAAAATTCAATAATTTAAAATTTATTAATTAGTTTTACTCAAAAAATAATTAAAAATTAAAAAAAAAATAAGATTCGAAACCTTGATAAGTGCTGCTGGCGAGCACAAGCGCTTGATTATCAGCTAAACCGACATCTTCGGTCGCCATTCGTAAAAGTCTTTAAACATTAATAAAATAGGCACCAAATTAATTTATTAAGAAAGTCAAAAACCTCCTTGCAATGTACAACGGATCTTCGCCAGCTTCCAACATCCTGATTATAATTAATTAAAAATAAATTATTATTATACTTAAGAAATAAATAAAAACCTTGCTAGCCAGTACAGACTTGCGTTGGCATCTGAGCCTCGCACGGATTTGTGCAAAGCAGAAATGCAATTGTAGTGTTCCTCATAAAATAATTACTTTTATTAAGATATTCAGTTTTTTAAAAAATAAAAAATATTTTTTATAAAAAGAAACTGAAGCGAAGAGAGTAGAAAACCTCGCCGTGGGAATCATAGAGAAGATGTGCTTTCTGAATGGCTTCTTTTACGAGTTCAATAGTAATAATTTTTGGGTTTTCAATTCTTAAAAATCAAATTTATATCATGAAAGTCTAAAAAATTTACAAAGTAAACGGATCAACGAACGAAGTCTTCGTTTCTACGAGCGTTTTTGCAAGTTCCAGCATATTCAAGGAGGCCCGAGCATCGCCATCACCCTGAAAGGCTATAAATTCTAAAGCCTACAAAGGTTATGAAAGTACTGTAATCCTTACTGATATAAGAAATTCAAATTCACATAAAAGTTTTATAAACAAATCTTACAGTTCAAGAAGTACTTAATTTTAAAAAAATTGACCTTGTCATCAATTTGAATTGGGAGTAAGCCGTCAGCAAGATCTAAAGCAATAAGTGGTTCAGGAAAGCAGATAAATAAATAAAATTTGAACTATATATAAAAGCCACCTTCAGACTCCAACTGTACCGCTCGCTTTATTATACATATTAACTCTTCATTATTTAGTTTTTCTAAGGTAAAAACTCGGCATCGGCTTAGTAAAGCGGAGTTTATTCTGGCATAAAAAATGAGTTAGACTCTGAAAAGCGACTGTAACAAAAAACACTTAAAAACCGGAAAGACGGGCACTCGGTGGTTGCTCCCACTAAAATAATTTCTCCCTAAAGAATTAAGATTTACTGAAAGAAAGCTTAATGTTAGGGACTAAACCGATTCCACAGAAGCCAAAAGAGAATCTTGTTGAGCTTTGTTAAATCTTAAAATAAGAAACTTATTAGTTTTTTTTTTTTTTGAAATGTTTTGTAAACAGTAAAAATTTCAAACCTATGAATTTCATCAATAAACAAGATGGTACTTCTTCTTGAAAGGTTTTTTAAATTTTTAGCTTTTAATAAACCTTTACGGATTTCGTTTACTCCTTCTTCAATCGGATTAAAAGCCCAAAAATGGTAATTAACTATGCATACCGAATTTTTAAATAAAATTTCATTAAGAAAAAGAGGTATATTAATACAAATTCTAGGAAGCAGTCGTGCTATAGTTGTCTTTCCGACGCCTAAATCCATGAATATAGCGCGTAATAGAAGAGTATGACCAAAATTTATATAAAAATACCAGGAGGCCCCCACAAAATTATGGAAGGTAGTTGAGAATTTTCTAAACTTACAAGCTTTGTTAAAGTCTTTACCAAGTTCTCTTGGCCTACTACTTTATCAATAGTAACAGGTCTACATTTCTCTGCTAAGGGTCTGTATTTACCATAATTAAGGTTATTGACATTTTTGAAGTTATCTAAATTATTAGTATTGTTAATATTAGCATTGTCGGCAATACTTCCTTTGATTGCCTCAGGTATTTTGTCCAAGTCATACCCACTGTTAACAATATTATTCCGCAAGGAGTTCTGAGCAACCTTGTATGAACTTTTTTCGTTGTAAACTTTTATTTTTATTTGTTTTCTGTTTGCAAAGTCTCTTAGGGTTTTGCTATTAGTTGAGCATAGTTCAGAGGGGGCCAAAGTGCCACAACCAAGATCAAGATGTCTATTTATTTGAGATAGTTTCAATCTTTTTGAACACGCAGGACAAGTAACATCCGAGTTGTCATCGGAATAATTTTTCATTAATAGTTTTAAAATTCTAACGCCCCTTTTTTACAATGTTAGCGACAAATTTTAGTAGAGCCACTAAACTTGTCTATTGGTTGGGGTGCGTGCGTCTAAACGGAATTGCAGTACCAAAATAAAAAAATTAAGTAGAATCCAAATATAAATGAACAAAGAAATATAATTATAAATTTAAATATATAGATCTTTTAATTAAGCATTCTAATTAAGTAAATATATATTGCCCTTCAATAAAAATTACTTAGAAAAAGCCTATATATTAATGAGGAAGGTTTCACTCTTGCTAATCAGCTCAATAAAGTTTTAATTGGTTTCAACTGCAAATCTTTTCACGGATAATAAATGTTTTTTTGTGGCCCAGGATTTTTAGATAAGCAGCTTAAGACTAAAATAGAGTTTATCGTTTGGTTTTGTTGAAAACAAGTACATAACCTCGAAGACCGGAGATAAGAGCCGCGTTAAAGGGGATCGAACGCACGACAGTGACTATATATCCACTATGATCTAGCATGCGCCCTTACCTTTATTTTCTTAGATCGCATCAATTTTTTTTTAGTTGGACCAATGCTTCTTCTGAATCGTCCATTATTACATTTGCATTTTTAGCATGTAAACAGCCACTTATGTTTCATCATGTAATATAAGGATCTAATTTTGTTACCTTTTTACTAAAAGTGCCTTTCGCTTACTCCTATTTTGGTCCCTTTTAATTTACTGTTTCCAGTTTTGTTTTTTCTGTTTTAAGCTCTTATTTATACATTCTATTCTCGCCTGTCTGCCATAACTCCAATCTGATCTTTGTTGTGTTTTTATCTAATTGGTTTACTTTTTTGATACTACCTTTGCTTTCAAAGAGTTAAATTCTGAGTGCTTACTGTCATCTTCTACTTTTGGCTTATGAATTACGTTTACAACTTCTGCTAGAGCCTTCTGTTAATACTGTTGACGGTTACCATATTTACTAATCATGGTCACCGATAACTAACTTTAGAAAACAGCACAATATTAGGAGTTTACGCGACATCTAATTTTAGTTGCAAAGAAGCCCTCGGCGTTGATTTTTGCGATTTTTTTTAAAGCGAATGTGCTGTATGATTTTAACTACTTTATAATTCCAACTAACAATTGGTCCCTTTTTCCAATACTGGTACACTCTCAAAGAAAGATGCGTATTTTTCTGGTTAGTGAATACTTACCTAGACAAAGTAAAAGCATACATTACATATTTTGGAGTGAGATAGCGCAGGTTTTTATCAGTACCACAGGTCAAGTTTTAGATGCAAGAAGTTCATTAATTAAAAAAGATTTTTTTTGTTAAAAATAATATGGATAGACTAAAAAAGCCAATATTAACAAGCTTCATCAGGCCAAAAAATTTGTATACAATTTAAGTTTGCCATTATTATCGTAGTCGAAAGTATAACGGTGCACTACTAGGTCAGAAGTGTTTACGTGCAGGCTCGAGGCTATTTAATTAATAAATTAACAAATTTTTGGTCTTAAGTCTACCTTCCGCAAGAATTATTCAAAAGGATATCAAATTTCGTACGCCAGAAAGTGAGGCCATTCCTAAGGGAGCAGAAAATGTCCTCACACGGCTTATTAGAATAGATTAGAGTTTGTGGAGTGTTGCTATCACCTTAATAAACGTGAAATTACACGATAAAAACTTAGAAAAGGGAGAAGAACCATGAGATACGACGTAAGGGCCTCAAGACGATCTCTTTTTACCGTTAAAGAGGTTAAGCTTTAAAGTGAGTGAATTTAAATGGTAACCTAAACTAAAGAAGAGTTAATAAAAAACTGAGGATTGCATATTTATAAACTTATAGATGTTTTTATAATTATTACACAACAACTGTTACAGCGATGATTATTTTTTATGCACTGCCCTTGTTAAAAGGGTATCACCCATTCTCTAGCTTTATAAAAGCCTATTAATTAATAGAGTCTTGGCGTAGCGAGCGAGCTGTAAGCTTAAAACAGCTATAAAATCTCAGTGGTTTAAATATTTACTGTATGTATATAAAGCTTGTCTGTAAATGCGTCTAGAGTTTTCAGTCCTTCGGTACAGTCATTATAGCCCTCTGGAGAGCGTACACTGGTGGGCCTCGTGTTCCAACCTTTGTAGAAGACGGGAATTCAGATTAAGCGGTATGAGGTCTTGGTAAGAAAGCCGGTCGTAGTATCCCTCAAAAAGAAAAATGCGTGCAGCCCTTACAGTAAAGGAGGGATAAGTACGCTATACTTTTTACCAAATAATAGGAGAACCTTATAATAAAACGCGTAGTAGTAAAGATAAATCTATTTATTTAAGGGGGTTATCCCTTGTTATTCAAATCTTGATCTTGTTTCACCCTTGTAACCTTTAAAAAATTAGAGATGGTGACCTTTCTGTTCAACTTTTTTTGAGTAGAGTATGACTGAAGATAAATGCAGAAGTAGACTATCCATTTTAAAAGGATTGCCATAAATCCTTAACCTATAAGAAAAACTAGTCCATATCATAAACAATAGTTTTTGGAATAATATTGGGCTACTTTCTTAACCTAAATTTATGTCGTTTAATATTTATGACTCTTCTTTCCAGAATTACCATAATAAAATTTTTACTATTCTTTGACAGAAAATGCTTATTAAAAGCTTTAATTTTAGCCTGAAAAATCTCTGCATATCAATTTTGATTGGGGACAAAAATTAATTATCAAGTGGATTGAAAAGTTGCCTGCTTTTTGCCAGAAAAAAAGTACTTGAAGACTTAAACTTCTTTTCATATTAAATTTGCGGTAACTCCACTTATGAAAGTAAGTTAAAACACCGCTCAAGTGTCTTTAGAGTCGAAATATATAAATTTATTAAAACTCCTCTAAATAAGAACTTTTGTTTAGCTATTATGTTCTTTAGAAGTATAATATGAAATCCTATTCTTTTAAAAAAGATTCGGGGTGTCTACAAGTTACTTTTGTATAGAATACTGAGCCTTTGGTAAAATACATAAGAATAATATACTAGGAAAAAGTTTGTGACCAACTTATTGAGGATACCATGTTAAGGGATGTAGAAAATATTCTACATCAAAATAAAGATGATTTCACAAGCTTAAAGCTTAACAACTACATTATTCCTAGCAAAACTTAACAAATCTGCGGTTTTTAATATTTCTCATAGAATTAAGGAAATCCCTCTTACTCGTAAATTCTAACAGTAAATATTATTCTTAGAATTATAAATTATTTTATCGACTGTATTAAAACGTTAGCTTGAATAACAGAAAAGTTGCAGAGGAATAATCGAGGGGAAAAAAGTGTAATAACTTCTTAACAAGTTCTGAAGAACAAGAAATACCGAGAACAGAGGACTATTAAAAGATTTACTGGTAAGTGAAAATGCCTCGTACGCCTTATTGTAAGCTATGAAAGGTAATCTTTAAATGGTAGCAACTTTTATCTCAAGAGGAGCCATAAAAAATAAACTTTAAACGATTTGATGAGTTACTTTTTAACCTTTACATAAAAGAATTGAAACCCACAAATGAAAAGTGTAAATTTGCTTATAAAATTAACTTTATGTCAATAGGAAATACCAAATATACTGTAACAAAACCAAAGTAACTACTTTTGCCCCGCAAAATATAATTTATAAAAAATTTAAATAATTAACTTAGCAATAACTTTAACTAAAAGGAATATAGTATATACTATAATCGGTCTAATTTGACCCTATGCGTTGATGCCGCAAATTTTTAAAAAGTTTTTATTAATTTACTTTAGATGATGCATATATTATACAGGGTCTAAACTATCTTAAACCGTTGAATTATAAACTTGCGTAAAAATTTAATACTAAATTACTTCGCTATAAATTTATATAAGGGAAGAGATATGCATTATATAAGGTCCAAACTTGCCCTCACCGTTAGATCGGCAATCTTATTAAAAGCCTCTCTATCTTCTCGCCATTTCTTCTATAGTGTTGTAAAATTAATTAAAAAGCTCCAGCAAAAGTCAATAAAGTGGGCTAAAAGTGCTTACGGAGGCCTCGAGATTAGCGCCACTTTCATCGTTAGGCTCTGCGGTTAGCAAAAAGTAAAAGTCATATAGTTTTAACTCACCTTTATTTTGAAACAGTTTAGGCTACTATAAAAAACCCAAAGTATCACTTTGCTTAAGCAAGGAAGCAATAAAAAATTAAATTTTAAGATGTTTCTATTGCACCCAAAGACCAAACCCACCGACAAATTATGTAAAAATAAATTAAGAATTTTAAAGGATTATTTAAGTTAAAAAACCTGAAAGCATACTTATTACCGAAAGCAAAATCTTTTCCACTGACTGAACCGGTGACCACCGCTCGCAACTCAGTTCATACCCTAAAGGATCCTCTCCAGGTGGATGCAGAATTGAGATGCACACACGACCGTCAGAGTAAACTAATAATAATATTAAGAGTAAAAATTATTCCTATTACTTTAGTTATAATAAAAAAAAATAAAACTTCAAAAACTAAAAGAAAAAAAAAAATTAAACTATAACAGCCAAACTGTTTGGATGAAACATAGGAGATATAAATCGCATTTGGGGAGGTTGATGAGGGTAGTCTCGAGGAAAAGTTAAAGTTGCGCAGAATACTCCATCTTCGTATGGAGATCCAGGGGGGCCGCTGAATTATAGTTTAAAAGCGGTGAAAGTAAACTGAAATGAAAAAGTTTTCATTACAAAAACTAATAAATAGTAACTTTATTAACTATAAAACTTAGAAACTAATATAACGTTATAAGAATTTACGAGATGACCGCCTCCCACTCAAAAAAGTTATTTTCACTAATGGGAGCAGCTAATACGCCATCGGGAGGATTTTTTAGAAGACCTAAGCAATGGTTATAGGCAATGAGAAGTGTTTGAAAAGCCAAAAAAAATTATTATTTTTTTTTAAAAAAAAGCAAGATAATAAATAACAATAACTAAATTTTTATTACGGTTTAAGTAAAAGTCCAAAACCTGACTAAAATACATTTGTTAATAAGTCAAATATGATTAGAAGAAAATGAATTAAGAAAAAACAGGTTAAAGTCTTAAAATTAGTTTAAAAAGATAGTTTTGTATAACATTGCCAAAAAATAATAATACAAAACAAAAACACCTTCATACTCCTTTATGAGACGTTTTAAAGCCGTGCCACTCATAAAGCAAAAGGACTAACAAAGGAAAGCAATATAAGTGGATTGTCAAGTTATACAAGGTCATAAGGACACTAACGGTCTTAGGTTTTTTCTAGTATTCCAGACCTTTGTTACGATAAGTTTTGTTTTTCCAGCGAACATAAGTAACATAACATAATACACCCATAATATGGCTTCCATTGTGTATCATGTTACATTATTAGCTTTTTATATAATAGGCTCTCGTTAATAGAGTGGTTTCTTGTAAAAGGCTAAGAAGCAGTTTCTACTGTTTGTAGTGTCTTCTGATCAAGAAAGTAGAGTATTGAAAGTTTTAAAAACCTAATTACAAAACTGTGCTCGGGTATCACTCGACCTATTAAAATTAAAATGGTGTAAATTAGATAAATAACGGAGATTGGAAACATTTTCTTTTGCTGACACTTTTTTAATTCTAACCTGTGGATCCTAAAACTTTTGGATTAAGATCTGAACCACAATTACTAAAGCTAAATAAGTTTTATAACTGTTTAGATACTTAGGTTATCTTTGAGATTATTCCAGTGACCCTTAGTCGCTAGTTTTTTTCTAATTTGTCTGTGTTTTTTTTTGTTCTTTGTTCAAATAGCTGGTGAAAGATTGCTTAGCACAAAATTGCAAAAAGGACCTTTTTCTTAAATTTACATCTCTAGCACACACATGGTTTCTTACCATTGAAACCGGAGTCTAATTATACTGATCTTATAAAAATAAGAGTGCCAGTAACTTAAACTCTGAAGATGGTAATATAAAAAAACATTAATTATATGAACTCTAGTTTAAATACAACTAGAAGGGACTAATCGCTATAATAAAATAGTAAAAATAAGACAAAACCATAGTAACTAAAGTAAAACAAGAAAAATAAGAGAGTAGAACTAAGACCGCAAAACTAAAACTTGGCGCGTAATGAGGACAATTTAGTTTGTTGAATTAGGCAAAGAGAAGCTGAAAGCCCAAAGAAAAAAACTTTGCTTTCTTAATTTTGTAAAGATAACATAGAGATACATTTATAATTATCAGCCTATATGGTTAACAACTTCAAAGTTTTTTTGGGTAAAATGTTCAAGTAAGTAAAATGGATTTTTGAAGGAATGAAGAGTTATTATTTAAAAAATACTTCGTATTTAGGTCGGTTTTTTTCAATGAAATTAATAAAAATTAAAATGGAGACAAAAGTATCGTGAATCGTCTAATAAAGTGGTCGGTTACTTGAATTTTTTGCTTGACTCCAACTTAAACGCTGCAAAAAACAACGCTCATGAAAACTTTTGCTTAATAAACGTTTTTACGGAGGCTCGTAAATAATATTTTTAAATAATATCTTGCTTCAATTATATATAATTTTAAGATCAATTAAAGGTTGAAAATTAGTTTTATTAAATTAAATCGCAAAATTAAGGTGTGGTTGCCTTCGATTGTAATGAAAATAATTATAATTTAAAGTTAACCAACTTAAAATCTCTTTAAAACTTAATCTTTCTATCAACATCAATGTCTATTTAGAACAAACAAAACGTTAGAGAGGTTTTCAAAAGCCTATAGTATATGTAATTTATAAACATTGTGTATCATTATTAATATTCTCTTTTTTATATATAACTCTATATATGCACGCATATAAACTAAGAAAAAACCTCTCTTATAAAGCTATAAGGGTCAAAAAGTAAATACTTTAATCATGAAAACTAAATGTTTAGCATAAAAAACGCAAGGAAGGTTTTACAATTTCAGTCTCGATTTGTGAACTAATAGGAGGTGTACACCACTACTCAGCAGGGAGCGAGACTTGTCTCTGGAGCTTCGTAATAGTATTTACGCGCAAGTCAATAGCCCAATTTGATTCCTTTTTTTGTGAGCCCCCACTTGCTGGTCTTGGTAATCACGTGTAAATTTGATATGGGTAATACTGCTGGGGCCTGTGCCTACTATGCGACTAAGTTTTTATTAAAACCAGCTTGCTCAAGTTTAGACAGACAGTGAGTAGGTTTGCTATAACTTTTAAATTTAAAATACTTTTGTAATTACTAGCCTGATACGTACAGAAGTCAAAAGTTAGGACATTCGAAGCTAGCACTTCGTATGGGCCCAGGGCTATAACGGATAAAAGTAATAGTATTTGGAACGAGAAAATTATAAGAAAACAACCACAAATCGTATTTTATTTTTTTTTAGTATTAAAGAGTTCACCTTTTAAAAAAGTTTATAATTGTTCCCGATTCCTCACTTGCTCACGTGGATTTGCATATTAGATCTTCGCCAATTGAACTCGTGCGGTAAACATTCCGCCAAAACCGCCACCGGGGTAAGGCGGCCACAAACCCGAGGTGCCCCCTAAGCCTCCGCCAACAAAAATGCCAGCAAGGCCACCCCTGCTATCACTTCCTCATATAAAGGAATCCTATAAAAGGGGGATAATGTTTTCTATAACAGATCAGCTATACTTACATAAATTTATTAAAATAATATTGTATGTCATAAAATGGTTTAGCTCGTACAGCTCATTTGTTATAAAAGTAATCACACAAATTTACCCTGATCCTTTTTTTTTGCAACACATCGCTTTGTAATTTTTGTTATCTTTTAAATTATTTCATAAATCAATATACAATAGGACGCCCTTCTGTTCCCTTGCTAAAGTTTAACATTATTTCACTTTTAGCTTACTCAGGGGGCGAACAGTCAGCCGAGTTAGCTTATATTAACATTAAGGCCTATTAAATCTGTGCTCACTCTCAGCTGCAGCGGTGAACTCCTTTTCGGTAATTTTTGCTGTTTAGACATCTTTGAAGCAACCAACTACCGATTTACTGGAAACAAAGCATAAAATTATAAGCGTGAATCATATAAAAGCCTGAAAGTAACTTAATAGTAGGATTTGATCATTATTCGCTCTAGCAGATAATAACTGTATATACGGGCAAGCTATTTTTAAAAATACATGTAGTCAATTCGTATGCACTTACTTTTGAATGAAGAACATAACTGAATATCCTTACTTTACCTAGTTACCTTTTAGGTATCAAAGGTTACTTCGTATCGTATCAATAACAGTGGATCACAATTTTTTAGCTACTTCACAAGCTCAGGATGTCTTATCATAAAAAATATTAAAAAAAAACCTATTTACATACACACACTTTAGTAAAGCTTACATTAAAAGAGCAGCTGATAATAAGCCGATCTACAACACCATAATTCTTTTCTTTTCTCTTCGTTAGGGCTGTGGGGTGAGTTATTCCAGTCTTGGTTCTTTCGTTCAGTATTATTTTTCACGCCGTCCCTAATTAGTTCAATATGAGTCCGTCTATCAAAATATATATACCTTTTTTTATAAGCTAAGTTGCAAAATAAATTTAAAAATGATTAAAGAGTATAAAAAATTAAAGGGTAGAGGAAAATACTAAGTAAACAACTTTACTATTATTAATACCCAAGTAAATTAGAAAGATATTACTTCTTTCAATACTAACTTGTTAGCTCACATTAACGGTTTTATAGTTACCTGTAGGCAGTGAGGAAAAAACGTCTCAAAAGTTTAAAAAAAAAATATTTTTCTTGTACACTACTATTTAATTTGGACAAAGGTAAGTGACATTTATAAAAGTTAACAAGTTAGTACTTTTATGAATTCAATTATTAGCACACATGTTTTAAAATATAATTTAGTCTAATACTTTATAATTTGATGTGTAAGCTATTTTTAAGTAGCTTTTTGTTATTTATGTTATTTTATTTATAATACAGGAAGAGACAATTTTAAAAATTAACAAATAGTACATTTATAAATTTATTTATTAAAGTTTTCTAGTTCATCGCTATTTAATAAATAGTGTAAAAGTATGAAATTTGCTTCATTTTGAATTTATTTTAACTCTTTTTTATTATTTTATATATTTAGTTAAAAAATTTATTATTATAATATAATACTGTCTTTATTTTCAAGAATTATAATTAATACTATTTAACTTTTTTTTCATATATCTATAATAAGATATTTTCTATTTTATATAATAATACCAAAAATAAAATTTCTATTATATAGATATTATAATATTATAGATATAAATAATATAAGAAATTCTTTATAATTAATTATTTTATAAGTTTACATATGTATATAGTCTATCCCTACGATTTTAAAATTATTATAATTCGTCCATTTAATTGTTTAATAAAGATAACTTAAAGGTTGTTATTAAAGACTTAAACTAAAAGAATGGAGTGGAAGTAATCAAGTTATTTTATTTGGTAAAAGCATTTTCCGGAATCTAATATATATCGCTTGACTGCATTCAAAAATTTTACAACCCTTTTGGTTTTTGTCTTCTTTTCTTTTAGGATTTTATTGTATTCTCGGTGTAGTAGTTAATAAAATGCGAGAAACTTGGATCATTGGTTCTATGTTGACCTAAACTATAAGTCAAGTTAAGACGCTAAAGTAGAATTTTAAAAGTTTTGTGACTTTGTAAGTGACCTTGGCGACATTACGAATTTTGGTTCTGTATCGGAAAACTTTGTAGCTTCTCTTGAGTTTATAAGAAGAAACTCCTCAAATAACTAAATTTGCAGTTATTAACATGAGAATATTAAAATATTTATTATTATCAAAATTTTTGCTTAGACCTTCTATAGTGTAAATATACCGGCTGTCTTCCATAGTTACCGCACCAGGCAACCAAACGGCTTTAAAACCTCATTATTTGTTTCTGCAACAGTAACTTCTTGTAGAATTCATATCACCTAAAAAATATAACCTGGGGGTAGCATATAAATTAAGGTGTTTATTGCAGTCCCCAATAAACTGTATAGCTTCAAAGGTATACCCAAAACCATTCCATCAGTTTTAAGCCAACTAAAGGAGCTGATCGCTTAATCAAGTGTCGGTTAATGCGAGCGTATTATAGCAATTTATACTTGTATTATAATCTTTTACTCACCCCTACTTAGTTTCTGTCGTGCATTGTTCTTTAAAAGATAGCAGTTCCTTTCTGACCTTCAAATGATGTAAAATTAGAGCTTCAGGAATACTTCTTTGTTTGCTCCACAACCCATAACCACGTCATAAAATTGAGTGTAATAGTAGCGCAGGCTCCTCAATTATATTTATTTCCATTTTACTAGCATAGATCGGAATATGTCATTGACGGCATAATCCTTTATTTAGAAGCAGCGCACATCCAAAGAAGAGCTTAGTTTCTCTGGAAAAGAGATAAATATATCGTTTAATATGAATTCCGCATCCAGTTTCCTCAATATGTAAAATCATCTGCGCTTAGTACACCTTTTTTAGCAGCAAGTGCCGAAAGAAATACTTTCGTCTTTGTCAAAGAGTACCAATTTTTTTTTGGTGATGGTCACAGAATTCGTACAAAGAGGAAAATCAAGTTGTCAAACAGTACCGCACAATTTGGTGATCACAAATGGAGTATTAATAGTAAATACAATGTACCCCATTTACCTTTTTAGCTTCATGGAAGTAAACTCATTATTACAGTTAATAAACTCTAGATTTCTTAAGGCAACAGACCTAAGTTGTTGCCCGTGGCTTCGTTTATTTTGAAAAAGCCTATGGCAAACACTTTATATGTTTCAAACACTCCAGTGCAGATGGCTGCCAACCTGTGGTCATTAAACGAAAGTTTGATCGCTATTAAATGGTTATATAACTTGCCTATCTCCAAAAAGAAAGTCATCGTGTTTATACTAAAGAAAATTTGTTACGATGAAGAAGAGCTAAAGTACAATTTACACGCCCCCCCACCTTTATTTTTTGAGCAACGAAGTTCATCGCAGAAAAGAATAACCATATTATTGATAGCACTTTTTATACATAAATACTTACGTACTTTTGTAAATGTTCTAAATTACCTGACTTAATTAATTAACTTCGTAGACTTTGTATGCAAAACCAGTAAGCATATGTTCGTATTCTAGCTCATTTTATATTCTTTTTGCCTTAATTTTTCCGCTGGTCGGATAATACCTGCTTTTGCCAGGGTATGTTGTTCTCTTGAGGTGTATTTTAAAAAGTTTTTGGCAATTAAAAAAGTTCTGGAGATTGAGCACGATGCAAGTTATGCTACTTTTAGCACAATAAGGGTCAAGATTCACGTATGAATACAAGAACACTAATATCTCAATGGTAGGTAGCAATGGTCTTTGTTGTGTCCGTTTGCGTGAACTTCTAGAAGAAAAGTACGGAGTAATTATATTATTTTCAAAGCTATAAAAAACAATTAGTTTCAAAAACATGTACTGGCGGCTTTTTCAAATGATAGTGAATTCGTTAGCAAATACTTATCCCAATAAGGCTTACATATGTGTTTTATTAACAGCAGCTTTAACAAACTTAATAAAGGAAGGGATGCAAATGTGGGTATCTATTAGGGTGAGGGGGAAGTGTTCGAAAGCACAATACTATTTTAAAGATGGCAGGTCTGATGCTTCAGTTCATAAATTCTATATTCTCTAGGCTCTGGAATAGTATCATTAACTAGTAAATCAGCAAAGGAAAAGTAACTACTTCCTGATTAAGTTAATTTTAAAACAGTATTATTAACTAATATGTTTCGATATATAGCTTCGCTCCCTTAGTGATATACTGTACATTGAATATACTTCTTATGTTCATTAAAAAGAGTTTCTATTAGGATGGATATCATATAACGCTATTTGCCTCGATTCTAGGGGCTCTCAGACTAGCTTTATACTGATTCTAAACTATATGTATCTAACTCCTAGTGTTTAAATCTACGTATAACGCTCGAGTTGTACTATGGTTTGGATAGTATGATTCGGTACTATGCCTTAATGGTAACGGTAGCTTTTTGGCTATGACACTAATAATTCTTCTTTCCTGATAGTAGTTCGCACCGCCTTTCTTAGCATTGAGTATAGTGATTACTTCTCATAAAGAATACAGCTCTAGAGTAGTAGTGAGGAATGATTTAAATGGAATGGTATCATTTACTAGTAGCATAAGGAACGTTAGGCGTTCCTCATTCGAAAAACCGTGCTCTTTTCTCGTATTTAAAATGACTTTAGTGTAATAAATGAACGCAGTGACAGTTTGACTTCTTAGTAATAACGTTATTTTACTTTACAGAGAGGTTATTTTAACAATTTGGGTCTTAAAATCGACCATTAGAAGATAAAAGCTTTTATGGCCTTGTTACCGCGCGAGACTGCTCCTGCATGCATCTTACATGTTTCTTTTTTGATTTTAGTGCCGGGGTTGGTTCCGAATCTCTCTTCGGGCTGCGATCACAGAGATATAGCATCAGCCGTCTTTCAAAGACTGTTAAAAGGCTCTGTAGGGTGGCTATTAGCGGTAGCACTATGCAGCTCTGTATGTTGTTGTATTCGACCATTAGCTTTTATCTTTCATTCTAACTTGCTCGCTATTGTTCATGAAGTACACTCTTTAGTGGATCAAGAACTATCGTTTAGCGCACGAAAAAGATCGTGTCTGTATCAAACTCAAGTTTACCATGGCTAATATTTTTCAAAGCTCCTCGTGAGTTATGGTCTAAGGTTGCTAATTAGGGGCTATCCGGCGAAAGAAGGCGTGCAAATGTAGGCTCATTTACCGCGGGTCCTGTCACTTTCTACTATTCGGTGTTGTCATTGATGTTTCTGTGAACTCTTTGTCTTGTTTATCTAACTCATAGGAACGTAATACTAGTATCTGATTAGATATTTGAACTCCCTTATTACATTTAAACAAGGCAACCGAGATTATGGTGCCTTCCTGCGGAGTACTCTGACAGTACTTTTAGATTTTATTAATTCCATCAAGCATAAAACAACTCCTAGTATATAGATAAATTTCTAAAGCTGTAAAACTTAACAAACACGTCCTTGTGGATCACTAACATGAGGGATGGAGGTTTAATAAGCGCGTTGTGGTAAAATAAAAAATGAATTTAACTTTTACTTTTTACTACATAATTTTGCTAGCTAATGCATATCAGTTAAATGAGATCTAAATATAGGTTAAAGATATACGCACAGCCCACTAAAAATTAAAATTTATAGCTGCAAAACATAGTAAGAACCATCTTTATTTATTATATACACGTCAATAATGAGCGAGCACGCGACGGGCGCACAAAACTTTAAAACTCTGCACTCGCTCAGGAGAGGTAAATCTATTTAGAAAGTTCCAAATTTACTCTTCCCTCTATTAGTAATGATTCTGGGGCGTTAAAGTTTAATTGTCAGAACTACGCGAAGCGGAGGGAATTGAGTTAACTAAAAATAAAAAAAATATATTATTGTTTTAGTGCATAGTCAGAGAGTTTGTTTTTTATTATTATTATTCCCTTCTGGACTATTAAGGGTGTGACTGACTATTGTATCTAAGAAAATAATAGTTATTGAAACAAAAGAAATAAAAAAGGGCAATAACAGTAAAAAAAAATTTATAATATTTTATATTGACAATAACTTTCTGAGCCTTAAATCGAGTTTAACATCTTTGCTGACTGTTATATATTCCTATCTGTTAAATTGTTGGTACTAGTTCTGCATCCTTCAAATTATCCTTTTTTTTTTTAAAAATATTCTATAAAAAAGTAACATGTAAAATAGAATAATAAATAAAGTTAATTTAAAACTTTTTAAATTAAGTGCTGATGAAAAAAAAATTCTTTTAAACTTTCATATTAAATATTACTCTATAATAAGACAAAAAAGATATAATAATAACTCAAAATATTAGTAAGATAAATCCATGTAACTATATAATTTTTATGAAAAATAATATAAAATAATCATAAAGCTTTTTCTTAAGCTAGAGTAGGAACTTATTTTAAAACGAATGTCGAATTAAATTTATTATAGTTTCTTTTAGTTTATAATTACGGGACCTGATTATTTTATAATGAACAAAAAAGCAGTAAATTCTTTGCTTGACAACCTCAGCCGGCGAAGGAAGAAACTAAAAGTTTTTAGTATCTTGTTAAAGCAGTATATTAATTTTTTTTTTAATCTTAGCCTTCGCCCAAAGTCTTCAAGTTAAACTAGGTTATCCCTACTATTGTCAAAAAATGAGAACCAAAAAGAAAAAAGTAATGCTTACTGAAGAATTTTTAGGTTGTTTTCAACATTTTGGCACTCGTTAAAGAGGTTTACGTTTTTAAAGCAAAGCACAAAACTGCTTACAGTTCTTATCAACCTAATGACACCATAAAGAAGCATAGTAGCTCATCTCTTCAGGCGTATTACTTTGTATTCCTCTTTCTTATTAAAGCTTTACTATTATTTCATAGTATTATTGAACTTACGTACGTATCTTTTAAGATATGAATATAATGTTAAGTACTATATAATATTCCTAAACTATCTATACTGTTCGCGCATACGACTAAGGGTTAACTATTTAGTCCCCCGGTGATTTTAGTTACTTTATATTACTGAGTTGGTCTGTTGCATTTCATGTCACATGACTGATGGTTTCTTACGGTCTCTCAGTAGACGTATCTTCTTTAGTTTGAAAGTATTGAGGAGGCCGAGTTGTTTCTACATGACCGCTTTGAATAATAAAAAATTAGAAGAAGCTTTGGTGTTAAACGATGAAATAAAAGCTTTAAAAAATATACTAAATCAAAAAATACACTCCAATTTAGATGAAGCAGAGGTTTATATAAACGACTTTTAATTTATTTTGCTTACCAACCTTTTAAAAAAACTTACACGAATATTTAAAGAAACTTTAAATTATATAGAACAGAAATATATATATATATATTCAATATATTTGTTGGATTTTAAGTAACATGTTTTATATTTATTGAATAAAAGCTAGAAAAACTGACGAAAAAGTTAGAAATTCTAAACTCACAATTTATTAAACTTGACATACCAGAAAAGGTTTTGCTTGCAGGTAACTTTTTTTTTGTTTTTGCTCTTTTAATATAGGTTTTATACAGTTTTTTGTTTATTTATAAATTGTGGTTATAATTTGAAATAATTATTTTTTAACCTTTCAATTTTATTTTACTTTAGCCCACAAATAAGAAGTTTAAAGCTGTTTATTTACTTTAGAAAAATGTAGGCAAGCTAACAGTAAGAGAGCTGAAGAAAAGTTTAGAAGAGCAGAACAAACGAGGCTTAACGCTAAGGTTTGTTATAAATATTATTTTATGTGTATTTCCCAGATTAAGATTGTAACAGTTAGTTTATTGCGTTGAGAAGGTTTAGAGAATATTATTTTCTATTATAATTATTTTAGTGCTTCAACAAACAATTATTATGGTGCTCTAATTCACTTTTGTTTTTTTTTATAGTTAACATTATATCTTTTTTTACTTTCGTACAAGATTCCAAGAATTTTATAAAGTTAGTAATAAGTGAAATAAAAAGTTTATTTCAGTATTTATTATATTTTTGAATTATTAGAAGTTTATTATCCTTTTAGTTTTTAAAAGTATGTAAGAAAATTTTAACTTGTATTTTATTTAGAAAAACACTGAAAAGAATCAAAGGAAGGCTGCATCCTACGTTCCTTTTGAAAACAAAACCGTTAAAGGAGAAAAGAAAGACGTTATTAATGAACGTTAGATCTTTTATAATTAATTTTTGTGGACAATAAAATATCTTAGTTTCGTTATGATTAATAAAGAAAACTTTATTTATATAATTGTAAAGAAAAAAATTATTTTTTTTCTGTTAACAACAATTCTAATTATTTAATTTGCTTCGTTATGAGCTACGTTAAATTTTTTTTTTTGTGTTTGTTAAATTTATAGATAAATTTATAATCTAATAAATTTAATATATTTTTTTATTTAGTTTGTTATAAATAATTTTGTTATTTTTTTATGATTGTAAAGAAAAGGGTCCTAGTCTTATTATTAACAAATAACTGCCTACTTTTATTAGTAGCGCTTTGCATCCGTGTTTTAAATATTGATTTTATTTTTTTTAATTTCGTTAAATTTATAATTTATTTTATTATTTCATTTAGTTTGTAAAAATTATTTTGTTATAAATTTATCTAAACCTTTATAAAATTATTTTTAATTTGTTTTAAATATTTTAGTTCTATGCATCTTTGTTTTAATTATACAATTTATTTGAATTGTCAATAGTATTAATATTTTTATAAATCTGTAGATGTTATAGTTAATTATATTTTAATAAATTTACTTTTTTTTTTATTAGTCTGTTAAAAAAATTTTGTTATAAATAATTTTAAACTTATCTTATTTTTAAATTTGTATTGATTTTTATAAAAGTTTTGTTACTTAATCTCTTAACTTCATTATAATTTTTTTACGTAGTATTATAAATATTTGGGTTTTATTTTTTAACTATAACACAACTTGAGTAGCTTTCTTTATTTCTAAACAATTTTTTTTATGCACACGTTACTACTTTTGTATCATGTTCCCATCTTTACGTTTTTTATAATTTATTTTTTTCTAATTGCACTTCTGGAAGATTTTTATTAATATAACAATCATGCAGCCATGCTTCCCAGTTATAATCCGGCCGCTGTTGAGTCTTCTTGGTATGATTGGTGGGAAAAGAAGCGTTTTTTTAAGCCTGAAGGAAAAGTTAACCCTTCTCCTTAAAAAAAATCTAATTTTTTTTCATTTATTTTTATTTATTAATATTATATGTAAACTTTTCTGTTATAAGAATATAATAAATCATTTTTAAAAATATATGGAAATCACTGAAGCTCACTTTCTTACGTTAAAAGTTGAGCTGTTTAATTTTTTATTCAGATTATTTAACTAAATTAGTTGTTCGTTGAAAACTTATTTTTCTAAATTCTAATTTAATCACCATTTTTTTTTAAAGTTGAGTATTTTTCTCTTTTTTTTATCATTTTGAAGATTTTTAATGAAACTCATTTATGTTAAGAAGTCTTTATTTAATTTGTAAATTCTTTTTTTAAGTTGATTTCACTAATTTTGTTTTTGTTGGATGAAATTTGTCGAGGGCAAACCCCGGATTTTTGTTGGAAGTGATTATACTTTTTTTCTTTTTAAAGCTGATATTATGTATGAGTCGCATGATCAACTGATTGGTTTATTAAAAAAAAGAACTATCATTTTTTCTATACGCATTTATTGAGTCAAAATAATATTTTTTTAAAGTTAATTTTTTATAAAATAATAGTGAATTTTGTATCCATTAACGTATTAAATTTTATTAAAAACATTTATAATAATGATTTTAGTATTTGAAACGTTTTATTTCTTCTATTATTATTAATTTATTATTTTTTTACGATAAATATATAATTTTCTTATTTTTATTTATTCATTATAGATTTTACTGAAAACAAATTTTTTACTGTTAATAAACTTTATTGTCATTGGTTATTACTAATTTTATAGGAGTCAGCCCCCCTCTTTCATTATTATGTTGAGTTTTACTTTATTATTAATAAGTTTCCTTATTTTCTCTGCTAATTTTGTAAACTTTCTTTATTTGAAATTCAGGACGGTATTGTGCATGAAAACCCAAAAGGAAAGTTTATTATGGTCATTCCGCCTCCCAACGTGACTGGTTCTCTATTATCATTATCATCGTTTGCCAATATTGTTACTATTTTCATTATGAATATGGCTATAAGGCTCTCTCCACCTCGGCCATGCCTTAACCATAGCCATACAGGATACTCTTGCGAGATGGTCTACTTTACTTCCTTTATTTTTTAGATACCCAACATTCTTAATGTTTTTAATTCGTTAAGGAATAGAATGTTGGGGAAAACTGTTCTTTGGAATCCGGGCTGTGATCATGCCGGTTTATTATTATTATTCATTGGAATTGTTGTTATTATTCTTACCATTACTATTATTGTCATTATAAGGAATCGCTACACAAGTAGTAGTTGAGAAAAAGTTATGGAAAGAACAAAAGTTAACACGCCATCAACTCGGAAGGGAAAACTTTGTGCAGAAAATTTGGGAGTGGAAGCAAATTTTTGGGGAGAGAATTTATAATCAGATTAGAGGTTTTTTCATTATTTTTATTGTTATTATGATTATATACTTTACTTTTTTCTTTAAAAGGTTTAGGCGCTTCCGTGGATTGGGACCGCGCGTGCTTCACAATGGATGAGGTTTCTCTTTTTTTTAACTGCATCTTTTCTTTTTTTTTTTTCTTGTGCCAACTTTTTTTATTCAATAGAAAATGAGGAACGCCGTGACTGCTGCGTTTATTGCGTTTTATGAAAAGGGGCTTATTAAACGAGCCAATCGCATGGTGAATTGGTCGCCCGCCTTGCTCTCTGCAATATCCGACCTCGAGGTCGACTATCTCGAGCTCCCTGGGCGGACGCTGCTGCCACTAGCCTCACATGGCGGCAGGTCGTATGAGTTCGGCGTAATGGTTCAGTTTGCTTATAAAGTTGAGGATTCTGGTCCTTTCATGCCATTCATAATATTTCTTTCTTTTTTATTTTCTTATTTTAGAGGAGGAAATTATTGTGGCAACGACCCGCCCTGAAACTTTACTGGGAGACGTCTGTGTGGCTGTCCATCCCGATGATGCCCGCTGGAAGCACCTCCATGGGAAGTTTGTGGTGCATCCTTTCCTCAACAAACGTCTGCCTATCCTTACCGACGAGTGTGTGGAGATCTCTCTTGGGACTGGTTATCTGTTAATATATGTTCGTGTATATTTATTCACATTGTCATTGATCAGGTGCGTTAAAAATCACTCCTGGCCACGATAAAAAGGACTTTGATTTTGGTGTCCGCCACCAGTTGCCTATCATCAATATTTTTAACGACGACGGGACGATGAATGGGACTTGCTCCCGCTTCGAAGGCTTAAAGAGGTGATTTCCTGCTCACGCTTTTTGGCGCGTTTCATTATTATTGAACTACAGGTACGATGCACGTATTGCTGTTATTGAGGCTTTGAAGGAAGCCGGTCTTTATCGAGGCGCTCAATCCCATGCCATGGCCATTCCTATTTGCAGGTACTTCTTCGGCGCGCTTTTCATTGCCCGCCTTGCTCTGTTCAGCACGTGATTTGCTAGCCGGAGTAAGGACGTTGTGGAGGACATGGTCCGGCCTCAGTGGTTCTTGAACTGCGGCGATATGGCCAAGCGCGCTCTCGCGGCTGTGGAGGCACATTTTTTACATACCCACGTGGTTTTATACGGCTTATGTAAGCGTATTTTGTGGGTAGAGCGGCTCTTTGAAGATCATTCCGTCGAGCCATAATATCACGTGGAAGCGCTGGTTGGAGAACTCACGTGATTGGTGCGTTTCTAGACAGCTTTGGTGGGGCCACCGTATACCCGCCTATAAGGTTTTCTTGTTTTTTTTTTTAAGTAATTAGAATGCTATACTTCACTATTATTCTGAAGATTATTGTTGACGGTCAGGAGCCAATACTCGACAACGACGATTGTTGGGTTGTTTGTGAAAGTGAACAGGAGGCTTTAACTCGCGCTTCTCAACGGCTTAACATTAACGTAAACCGCATTACTGTCGAGCAAGTAAGAAAAACAGAAATAGACCACCCAATATGCTTACTTTTACGCAAAATAGGACCCGGACGTGCTAGACACGTGGTTTTCTTCCGGTTTATTTCCTTTGTCCGTCTTTGGTTGGCCCGAAAAAACTGACGATTTTATGAGGCACTTTTCAGTCTTTAATTATTTTGATATACGTCAAACATTTGTAACTCCCTTTTAGATTCTTTCCCGGTACCTTTCTAGAAACTGGACATGACATTTTATTTTTTTGGGTGGCCAGAATGGTCATGATGTCCCTTTCGTTAACCAATCAGCTCCCCTTTAGGTCATTTTAATGAGTAACATTGAAATATTAACCATTGACAACTCTTACCTTTTAGCACTGTTTATCTTCATGCGTTGGTACGAGATGCACATGGAAGGAAAATGAGCAAAAGTTTGGGGAACGTCATTGATCCTGTCGATGTGATTCGTGGAATTTCCTTGTCAGAGCTGCATAAAACTTTGGAAAACGGTTTTCATACATCACTTGTGATTGTATTTTTAAAAAATTGTCACGTGTAAATTTCAAGGCAACCTGGACGAAAAAGAAATTGCAAAGGCGCAAGCAGGCCAGACGATGGACTTTCCCAACGGCATTCCGGAGTGCGGGACGGATGCCCTTCGATACACTCTTGTTTCCTACACAGTATGATGTTTCCTTGGACCCCCTTTTTGAGCCTTTATTGGTTCTTATGATGTATTATCAGATTGGAGGAAAAGACGTAAATCTCGATATCAATCGCATTGTGGCCCATCGCCACTTTTGCAATAAGATATGGAACGCCAATAAACTTTATTATTTTTACTGTTCCGGCTACCAGCCCGCGTCGGAAACTCCTTCTCCCAGCGAAGAGTTTTCCTGCATGGACAGGTGGATTCTCTCCCGCCTTTACAGTATTGTTTTCATTATAATTATGATTTTATTATTTATCTCTATTATTAATCTAGAAGCGTGCGAGGTAATTGACGTATCGTTCAACTCCTTTTTATTCACACAGATGACCGACGCGCTTTATAAATTCTGGAAAGAAGAACTTTGCGATGTTTATTTGGTGCTTTCATTATTTTTTTTTAATTTTACTTTCTTTATAATTATTGAATTGGTTTATTTATATTATAAAGGAATCGTCCAAGCCTGTCTTACAGGGGCCTGACGGGCCTCAAAAGATAAATGCTATGGAAACTCTTTATACGTGTATCGAGACGGGATTGAGGCAAGAAATGACCATAGTGATAATGATAGAAATAATATTAATGATGTCAAAAAGACTTCTACATCCAATCATGCCGTTCATCACCGAAGAATTGTGGCAGCGCTTACCCAAGCGGTCATCACTTGCGCATGAGAGCATTTGCATCGCTGATTATCCTAAAAATGTCCTTTTTTACAGTTGATTGGGTGGTTAAGTATTAAAGTTTTAATGAATTTTTTTTGTCAATTTGCAGGTTTTATATAGAAATGTAGTATTAGAAGAGCAACAGGTGTTGGCCTTTGAAGTGGCTCACTGCATACGCGCATTGCGATCTTCATATCTTGAGCCTAAAGCGAGACCGAAAGGTGGTTGTTGTAATAATGAATTTAATAACTATTTTTCATCAATCATAATGGAAAATAGTGGATAATCATAATTATAATGATTAATAAAATAATGCACAGTAATAATGAATATTAATAATAAAATTTATTATGGGTCGTGTATTAATGAATAATATGATTTCCAATGAATATTTATTGTAATAAAATAATGAATAGGAATGATAAATAAAAATAATGGATAATTATGAATGTTTACATACTGAATAATAGTAATGAATAATAAAATAAATACATTTATATTATATTTTTTGGTAAAGTAAAAGCAATGGTGATGTGCATGTTATTCACTAAAATGATTATTATTATGAAGTGACGGTCATCGTTAAGAACACCAAAATAAATGAAGCTCTTCATTTATTTCATAATATGGTGGAGTGTCTCTGCGAGTTAAGCGAACTTGTCATCACCTACAAACCTGAAGTTGATAGGCGTGGTCACGTGATTGGCCACGTGGCCGATATGGCGGAAGTTCTTTTACTTATTAAGGTCGACAGTTTTAGCTTCCCTCTGCTTAACTCTTATTTGGATCGCTTTATTTGCACTATTATAAAAGGGGTTGGTTGACTCAAAAAAGGAAATAACTAAACTGGAGAAAAAAAAGGTTTTAATAACTTTTTTTTGATGAAGCAAAATAAGTTAATAGCAGTTAGTATTGTTAAGTTTTTATATAACTAATCCTGTATATTTCTAAGGTTGCGTGGAACTTTTTTTACTGTTTCTCGCACGTGTAATAAAATAAAACTTTTGGTTCGTTATAATATTTCTAGGCGTCCATTATAGCAACAACCGAAAGACTAGAGAGGCGCCTCAACTCTCCCGTGGTAGCAAAAATTCCAGAAAGCATACTCGTGCAAGAAAGAGCTCGTGTATTTTTTTAAACTGCTTTTTTTTTTAATGAATATATATTTATAGAAAGAGTGTATTTTTATGACTTATTTTCATTATTTTTTTTAACTCCCGTATATTTATTTTTAAATTCTTATATTTTTTATTTGCTCTTATTTTTTTTTTATTCGTTATTTTTCTTGCAGCTGGTCTTGTACAAAAACGAACTTGCCCAAATCGAAGACTCTCTTGCATTTTATGGCAATATATAACGTCGGAATTAATTATTATTACGGTTGTATAGTTAAATAATGAAAGCGCTTTAGATTTTATTAAGCTTTACTAAGAAACAATAAATTTTCATGCAGTCACAAACGACCTACCAATCAGTGATTGCTATATTTAGCATTATTATTTTTTAATGAAAGTTTTCCAGCGAATGCGACCCACCATTTTTATAATATCAAATTGAGCTCAGCTTCTCGTCAAGTCGCGCGCCGTCGACAAACACGTGCGTATGCTTGACGAGGGCCTCGTGGAGTTCCCTAGGAATTCTTTTTATAAAGCGATATGCTAAGCGTATAACCGGCCCCGCCTGAATATTGGCAATGCAGGTAAAATACTGCGAGAGCTTATCTCTAAATTGTCGCAGATTATCAAAAAAGTGCAGTAAAATGTTTGGTTATTAGGTAGTTTTTACTCTCTCATGGTAAGAATTGCTGTCTTGTCTTGCACAAGAATAGCGGATAGTACTAGTATGCACAAATAGAATCCATGGGAAATTAAAAAGTCCCTTTCATTAGTTAATTAAATGACCGAAAAATAGTGACTCTATAATAGGCATATACCATATTTTAAGAACTTCGCTGATTGGTGTGTTGATGGTAAATAGAGACAATAATTGGGGGAGAAAGTAAACCTTTTATCAAATAATAGAAAAAGAAATATTAGCAACCTACAATATTGTATACGTGTTTGGTTAATTTTTTCGTAACAGAATTGTACTGGATTTAAGAGTCATAAAAATATTTGACGAGCATATGACCTTATTTTTCCCAGAAAATAATTTGTGCAAGTCCTCATCTATATAGTTTAAGCAGGTGGCCAGGAGCTGTATGTTAGCCAATGAAATAAGAATAAAGCAGTCATAATTTCATTAAAACTTGTTTTACTAATTTTTTCATGAAAACTGAAGTAAATTGCTGAGCATAAAGAATATTTGCATTTACTTTTTTGGTGAAGAGTAGAAAGAAATTTTGAAGTAATAAAGAAAAATTATTTACTAGCCAAAAATGCGATTTAGAATAGTAATCATTATAAAAGTTACTTAAAATGTTTAATACAATAAAAAAATGAAGAAATTCAACAAAATATAACTTTGCACTTTAATTACTTTTAAAATAATTAAAAATCATCCGTTTTACTAATTTTAGTATCGAATAAAAAATTTAAATTTCTTTAAGTATTTTTTATTTTTATTGAATAAATTAAGTTATGGTTTTGGTTTTTTAGCGAACCGCTTGGCGAAGAGAATAAAGATTTTTTTATAAATTTAAGAAATTATTAATAAAAGTTACAATTTATTTATAAAAGAATTATAAATTTAATTTTTTTTTAAAAAAATAGAAATTCTTTATTTATAGTTAATAAGAATGTATAAATTTAAAACTGACTTTAAACAAAAAAATAAAACAAAACATTCTTAAATTTTTTATTAATACTATAAAAATTTTATATTTTAAAATGTAAAGTTTTTAAAATCTAAATCTCGTTTCTTTTTTTATCATTATAACAAAACTTTTAACTTAAGTATTTTTATTTTATATTCATAAATATTAACTACAATTTAGAATGTTAAAATCTTTTTTTTATTCATTGAATTTATTAAAATATTAAACGCAAAATTAAAATAAGCATCCAGAATTATAAATTTAATATTATTAGTGTTTTTTGTTTAGTATTAATATTTACTTTATTATAATGCAACTTATACAAAAGTTGATTATTTTTTATAAAGTAATTAATTTACTTTCCACAAATATATTTTTGAAAAATATATATTTTAAAGCATTACAAAAGTCTTAATTAATTTTTTTATTATAAGTATTATTATTTTTTTCATTAAGATTTTATAAATAAAAATAACTTTTTACATTAACCTGAATTAGTTTTCTCTTCTAGGTTTTCTGCTGTTAAATTTTTATTGTAATTCTAAAAATTTAGTATATGCAATTTAAGTATTATTACTATTATTCTATTTACCACTGCCGTTTACTTCGCTCGTCTTAATTATTATATTTATAATTATAAATAATTCACCTCACAACCACTATTGACACCACTCAACGATTTGTTAAGGTAAGTCGGTACGCAGTAAGAAGCCACTTGGCTAAAGGCGTAGAAGCTGTCCAGCTAGTGAAGTTTAATTAAAATATATTGAATTATACAAACATAAATTATTTTAGTTTATCAATCCGTTTAATATAACTTACAAAGTTATTAGTGAAACCAAAATAAAATAAATTTCGAAACGAGATTAATAATAAGGAAAATACTAATTTGAGAAAGTATTATGGTTTATATTGAGATATTTAATAATTTAGATAGGAATTATAAAAATCTTTAACAGGAACCAAAACGAATTATAGAATTACGTAACATAATTTAAGGGAGTATAAATAATTAAAATGAAATTAAATTCTAAAAAATATAAAAAATAAGTTATGAAAATCTTATAATTAAAAAAATAAAAAAAAAGCCTCTGGCATAATAATGCAAAAAATTCCGCATAGCCAGTTCATTCCTTGTACGTAACTGTAGTTTTCCCTACGAAAAAAAAATACGTGACTCTTAAATTAATTTAGTGGAAATAAAAAATTTACTTATCTGTTTGGTTATTAGCGAAAGCGTTAAGAATTCTAGAGAGCAGCTCAATAAATTCTTGTTTATTATAAAAAATATCTTTCTGTTCTAAAAGTTTTACGGTTCTTGGAAGGTCATAATTTATTTTATCTTTTTTAAGTTAACGGAATTAAATATAAATTAAAAATAAATGAGTCTTAAGCTCTATAGAAATTTTTTTTAAAAATAATAATAAAGCAAAATCAAAATATTTAACCATATACTTCGGATTTTACAAGGAGAGAAAGATAATTTTCCACAGATAGCGGGCCTACACAAAGAAAAATTTTCCAGACAATCGCACGTATACTGCATTTCAAAGAAACTTTTCTCCTCTCATTCTTCATTTTTAAAAAAAAAAAGGCAACTTTTATTAAAAGTACAAATGGGGTTCTACGAAATATTAAAAATAAAATTACTTCTTCGTCAGGTGGGAGACCACTATTTGCTAGAATAGTAAGTTTTAAACTTCTGAGACATTTATTTTGATATTCAGCGTTGTTATTTCCTTTTATAAAAATTACCATAAGTTAAATTTTTTATTGCTTAGCATAAAACTTACAACGTTCTAATAAAGAAAAGGATTTATAATAGTAATATAAAAAGAACCCGTTTCAATAATTCGTATTATGAAGTTACGATACTCGTCAGGCGACTTAAAATAAAAACTTTTTAGGTTACTCATGAACTATATAGTTTGTTAAATGATATTATTTCCTATTATAAAAAGTTATATGCAACATTTCTGTGTTTAAATATAAAAGTAAACGAGAATAATTGCACCTTTTCATTAAAATAATATTTATATAAAATAAACAAAAATTGAGTGGCGAAAAGTTTCCTTATATTTTATCTCAAAAACATGAGACGGGATTTGTTCAGCTTTTAAGCACCTCGTGCGATTTTTTTTAGTTTCATCGAATTTTTTTAGTTTGGGAATATAAATTAGTGAAATAAAACGTTTATGGTTTAAGATTCGATTTATTATTTAAATTTCTTGTTTGAGTAATTTAAATAAGCTTACTATTTTAGATACTTTGAGAGAAATTTATAGTAAAAATGGAACAATTAGCTATAATAACTGGAGCAAATACGGGTAATATGGAGGATAGATTGTTGATATTATTTTTATATAAACTTTATACTCTAATTTTACGCTACAATTCTAATGTTGTAATCTATAAACTATAAAAATACAAATTTATTTTTCTTTAATTACTATTAAATTTTTAGGTATCGGGTTTGCCTTAGCACAACGTTTATTAGAAGAATCCGCGGAATCTAAAATATGTCTTAATGTTGTTTAAATTTAGTTTATATAATTTTTATATTTCTATTATTTAAATTTCTAGATTTGCTTATCTTGTAGAAATTATGATAAAGCAGTAAGAGCAAAATCCCTTTTACTTAGTAAATATAATTGCAGTGCAAATCAAATATTCATAGAAACTGTATCTTTTTTTTTTAGTTTTTTTGTAAAAATATTATATAGTTTATAAAAAAGGTTGATACTAGTTCTATTCAATCGGTTTTGAAATTTACTAAAGCAATAAAGGAAAAGTATTTTATATTTTTTTGAAATATTTATATTATTCATAACGAACATATTTTTTAACTTTTTACTTTTTTAAATCAAAATAGATTGCTTTTGTTAAGTTTTTTATATTTTTTTAAAATGTATTATTTTTCTATAACTTTTAACCAAAAATGTGCGCTTTAGTAATTTAAAATAAAAAGTTTGAAACAATTAACATGAAATTGGCGAGCGCCGCTACTTATAATTTAAAAGTAATTAATTCATTTTTTCTTTTATTTGAAAACTCTTTAAAGTTTTAACGAAAAAAAAAATTTAAAGATTTTGGGCATTCTTTAACAGTTTGTGCTTCAAGGAATAATTTTAAATTATATAAGTAAACAAGATTTTATTTAATTTAGATTTATATTAAAGTAAAATTAATATTTTACATCACTTTCTGCACAGCCTTGGCACCAACTTATATTAGTTTTTAATTTTTAAATTTTAAAATGAAATTTAGTTAAATATTTTAGTGCGCAGCCTTAATCAGATTTGCACCAACTTATATTAGTTTTTAATTTTTAAATTTTAAAATAAAATTTAGTTAAATATTTTAGTGCGCAGCCTTAATCAGATTTGCACCAACTTATATTAGTTTTTAATTTTTAAATTTTAAAATAAAATTTAGTTAAATATTTTAGTGCGCAGCCTTAATCAGATTTTAAGGTTAACAATAAAGCTTGTCTTCTTGAATTCCCAAAAGTTTTGCAAAACTTGATTTGTGTTCTTTTACGATATAAACTACAATAAATATTTTTAATCCAAATTAAATTAAACTTTTTTTTTAATTTTAAAATTTTGTGTAGTGACAATAACAATCGGAAGTAAAGTTAAAGATGCTTTATAAAAACAGTTTAACTACGTTAACTGCTTTTATGTTTTTTATAAAAACTTTCTGTATAAAAGAGTGTACAAGTTAAAGACTATAAAGTTTCATTTAAAGTAATTAAATTTTTCTGAGTAAATTTGAAAATTTAGTCACACTACTGAAATTTTTCGTTAATTATAATATTTATAAACAAACAAAAAATAATAAGTAATAATCGCTACGAAGTAATTTGTAAAACTTTTATTTTTTTTATAATAACTATATATTAAAAAAAATGTTAAAAACATTTTCAAGAAATATAATTGTATAATCTAATAATTTTAAAGTCTGCTACATATTATATTTTTTTGCTCAAATTCTCCCCACGATTTTCTTGCAATTACATTTTTTTCATAATAATGCTTTACTTGTTAATGAATTTATTAATAATATTTTTATTGTCAATATATATTTTTTTATTTTAGTTATTCTAATTTCTTTGTTTACCTTGCAATTTCTTATATTTTTAAAAAGTTAATATATTTTTCTGTGTTATAATTAATTTGTTTTTATAAACTTAAATAATTTTTTGCTTTCCTTTATAATTTATTTTTTTTTTAAATTAAATTTAATTTTCTATAAATAATTAGTAATAATGAATTTATTTAAAATTATTAAATTTTTTGTGATAAATTTTGCACGACAAATGTTATAAACGAAAATTCTTTAAACTATTTTTTTTACTAATTTACTTAATGTTAGCAGTGTATGCACGATCTAGTTTTAATTTAAAAATTTATTATTATATAGACATAAACAATGAACGATAATTATTTTGTAATTAAAATTTTTAATTAGTATTTAATATAATTATTATTTACATTCAAGATTATTTCAATATTAATAATTTTTTTTAATTTTTTTAATTATAATTTTATAATTTTTCTTTATACAGATTTTTTAAAATAGATTATTTTTACTTAAACGCTGGTATCATGCCGGTTTCCAAAGTAGATTTTTCCCTTTTTTTCACTTTTAATCTTTTTTATGTGATCAAAATTTTAACGACCGGTTGCGATATTTTGAAACAGGTTTTCCCTTTTTTTAAAAACTTTTGCTTTGTTTGATTTCTTTTAAAAGTTTTCTTTTGTTATTAAAAGGTTATAATTATTATAAAATCTTAACTTTTGCCTCTGATCGATTTCTTTTAGAACATTAAATTTTTTGTTATTTTATAAAACTTTTCTTCGTAACGGGTTTATTATAAATAATTTAATTAATTTTTTTTAGGATTGTGAACTTTTTATTTTTATATGCTAATTTTTTCAAGATTAAAAACTTTTTTATGCTATAATAAATATTTTCTTTATAAAGCTTGACGAGGATACGCAAGATGGAATGAAATCTGTTTTTCAAACAAATGTTTTTGGCCATATAATTATGGTGTTGCTAATTTTCAGAAAATTTTATCCTTACTTTTATAATTGATGACATTCGCTAATTATTATTACACCATATAAATTATTATTTATAAAAAATATTATAATATAGAAGTATTTTATTTATAATTTTTTGAATACAAATTCAAATTTGAAAAGATAATGTATAAAAAAATTAATTAAAAAATTGTTTATTTTGTGGTTTATTAAATGAAATTATATATAAATTTTATTTAAATTAATAATAAAAGATTTGGAGATTTCATTTTATTTTATAGTAAAAAATAGGTTTCATTATTATTTATCCGAACTTTTGTAAATCAAGTTTACATAAAAATATTATTTTTTCATAATTTCTAAGAAAAAGTATAAATGTTAAATATTTGTATAGTGATTGAAATCCTGTTTATATAAAAAAATTTTACTTCGTCATTTTCTGTTTAAAAAGTTAAAATTTTAATTTTAGAAGAAATCAAGCCTATATAAAAATATTATATATATTTTTATAATTTCTTATTAAAATGTAAAATGTTAATTTTTTAATAGTAAAGAAATAATTCATTATTTTTTTTTTTTACTTTTTAATTATATTTAACTAATTTATAATTTAATTTTTTTTTAACTTATTATTTTCTTTTAAATTTTTTAATGAACTTTTTATTTGCAATATTTTTAAAAAAAAAAACATTTTAAGTTTTAAAAATTTAAAAGTTTTTTGTAAATTCTTATTTTGTAAAAAAAGTTTTAAATAATAACTTGTTCAGCTTTCATAAGAAACTAAACATTTTATATAATGAGAAACCCTTTTTAGTTTCTATTCAGTTTTACTTATTTCTTTTAATCTTTATTTTATAATAAATTTTTTTTTTATAAATTTTGGACGTTTTTATTTTTAAATTATTTTTTTAGTTTATATAAATTTTATAAAAGAGAGAAACACAATTTTAAATTTATTTTAATCCTTTCAACGTTAGAAGTATTTTTTATAAATTTATTTTTTTTGCTAAACTAATCTAGAAACTTTAATAAAGAAACTTTTTACTTTAAAAAAAAAAGATTTTACTTTACTTATAAACTTTTCTAACATTGACGAATTTTTTTTATTATTTTTAAAATCTTTTTTCTAAATTATTCTTAATTTTTTAAATCTAATTCAATTTTTTATCAAAATTTAGCTATACAGCATATGCGTTCACGAAGTTTTCTATATATAAATAATTTTTTTGCTTTAGATTTTTGAACTTTTAGAAATTTTATGTAAAAGTCAATCAAAAGTAATTTTTACGGGATCGAGTGCTGCTAGAGAAGATTCTTTTTCTATAGATGATATTGAACATCGATTTGGGTTTATTATTATTAAATATTTTTTCTTGAAAAAATTTTTCATATACTTTTTATTTTTAAAATATATATGGTAGTTTATTTATTAGCCCTCTTTTCTTTTAAATCGTTTAATTAACAATATTAACAAACATACAAATTTGTTTATAAAAATGTTATAATTTTCTAAACTTTTAAATTTTTTTTATTTCTTAATTAGTACTTTTGAACAAAAATATTCATATGTACACAGTTATTATTTTTTTTAGTATTACATTTCTTAATTTATTAGTAAGTTGTTTTAATTATTCTTATTTTATAACACTTTTTATATAATAAAAAATATACACAATTTTTGTTTTTTGTTTGTTATAAATCTTATATATTTCTTAATTAATTTTAAAATAGTTTTATTAAAAAATATAAAAGATACAATTTTGTATTAAATCTTTTTATTTTCTTAATTTACTTTTAATTCTTTATTATTTATTGTTGTACTTCACGTTTTGTAATAAAAAATATTATACTACTTTTTAATTTTCTTTTTTTAATCTTAAATTTTCTTTATTAATTAATTAATCATTTTAATTAAAATGGGAAATCATACCATTTCGTTAAATTTATTTTTAGTTTTGTAATTATTATTATTCTTTTGTTTATTAAAAATCCTAGAAATTTTATTAGTAATTTATAACTTATTTTATTATAAAAATATAAAATTATACAATTTTGTTGAATTTATAATAACGTTTTGTAATAATCAATATTATTTACTACGCTTTTAAAATTTTATAAAACAATTTCGTTAATTTTTTTTTTAAATCTCAATTTAAATATAAATTTAAATAATTAAATATAAAATCATACAATTTTTTTATATTTTCATTTAAGTTTTTTAATTATTATTATTTCATAACACTTTTTATAATAAGAAAAACAATTTTTGTTAATTTTTTTAAATCTTTTAAATTCTTAATTTACTTTTAAATTGTCGAGTATTATTATTATTAAATGTGCTTTTAATAAATAAAATATGTACGACTTAATTCAAAACTTTTTTTAATAGTAATAAATGATAATTATTATATAAACTTATCTTCTTGTCAGTGCTGATCCTTATGGATCTTCAAAGTTTCTTCTTGACGTTCTTGTTATTGAGCTTAACAGGCTTTTCAATTCTAAAGGTTGTCTTTATTGTTGCATAATAATAATAATAATAATAATAATAATAATAATAATAATAATAATAATAATAATAATAATAATAATAATAATAATAATTGCTAAAACTTTTTAAAAAAATTGTGCAAAAAATTTTTTTTAATGGGACTTGCACTGCTATTGTATATAATACTCCTTCTACCTGACCTCGTGGGCTCAAGGTGTTTACTTTTACACGTGCTGCCCGGGTCTTGTGATGAGCCAGGTAAAAGGCCTACCGTTTTTGATTTGTTTTTTTACCGAACTGAAAAGGTGACTTATAATTTGATGCCGTATTGGGTGTGGAACCTCATTTTGGTCCCCATTATTAGGCTGGTTGGCTCCGTTTGTTATATATTTTCATTATTATTTATTAATTTTCATTATTTTTATTGTTTTTTTCTTAGGTTCGTATGTTCTCCTCTTTTTATACTTTGGACCCCTTAAACGGCGCAGAGGCATTACTTTATCTTTCGATGATTCGGAAATGCGACCAACGCGAGCGCCCCAGCGTGTATTATAAATATTTCAGCGCTACTTCGGTTACTATTATGATTATTTTAATTATTATCACTACTATTAATGCTGTTTAGTTTTGGGGGGTAAACGGCATCAAACGGCGGTTGCTTAACGCCCACCCACGGGTTTCTGAGCTGGCTTATGAAAAAGTCATGGAGCTTTATAAGAAAAAGGTTGTTAGCCAATTGGAATAAACTAATAAATTGGTTAGTGCTTTTTATTGGTATTTACATGAAATCGGCTGCTTTTGGCCGGATTCGGCGGCCGGTTCGTTCTGTTTCTGGTAGCTTTTCTTGTGGAGCGTCAGTATTGTGTTTGTGGGGTTCACTATTTTTCTCTTTCGATGTTTTTTTTTTTTTCTTTTTACTTTTTATGCTTTTCAATAACTTTTTCTTTTCTTTTTTATTCAACGTCTTCATTTTTTCTATAAGAAACTCGTCAATGACGTCTTTTTTCTTATTCTTCTTCACTATTTTTTTTTTCTTTTTTTTCTTTTCTTTCTTTTTTCTGCTTTCCTTCTCTGAAAATATTTCCTTTTCCGTCCACTCGGAATCCGAGTCGTACGTAACAGCGTGTGAGGGCTCTTCTTTGGGAGGTTGGCTTCCGGCAGAGCGGTCAGTCATGTTTATTAACGGGCCCAGAATGCTTTTATTAGGTTGGCTGGGCGGTGAGCCCTTCACTCAATGAAAGAAGTGTTACTAGTAATGGCGACCAGTAAACACAAAAATTAATACGATTGGTCTTATTAGTGGAGGCAGGGGTTTCTGCTCGGCATTATTCAAATATTCTATTAAAGATAATTGGTGAAAACTTATTAAACAACATATTATAAAATACTGCATCACTAAAAAAAGGAAAACGCAACGAACGCTCTTCTTTTTTTTCTTCTTCCAGCGGATTGGTCAGCTGCTCGTCGTCATCCTCATCGTCTACCTCGTCATCAAAGTTTTCAAAAATAGCCTTAAATATCTCCATCGAGGGTTTCGCGCCCTTTATGTAGTTTAACCAATTACATGAAAGCCCACTACATATCCGAAAAAATATACAGACTAACAGATTCCTCAAACGTGGATTCGCTAATATTTTCCTGTAAAGGCTTGCTAATGGCTGCCGCCGCGGACGGGTCGAGCGGCCCGGACAAAGTAAGTGGGAGGATGGGATTACGTGATTGGCACTTAGGTGGTGGCGGCGTCGCATGACTGTATGGGATCCCCAAGCGCTTGCACAACAACTTACTTGGTAGCCTTTGAATATGCACGCGTAAGTGACCATATAATTGGACCCATAAAGAATACGCACTACCAAATTTCTTGCGTGCGTGTGAGCTGGCCATAAGTGCCTCGGCGGGCGGCTGCTTCCTGCGGCGTTTCAGGCGTCTTTAAGTGAGGAGCGTCGCCCTCAATATTGTCTTGAATGGTAGCAGAAACTACAGAAAAAATAATGAAAATGAAAAAAAAATAATCATATCCAATATAAAGACGGAAAGACGCTATGACGCACCAAAGCGGTTTGAAAAGATCGCTGACATTGGTTGAAACATGATTGCTGCGCGTGTAAAGTCTTGTAGTTCTTGCAAAACGGCCCACTCTGTTAAGCCCGCGCTTTTCCCCCAACTAACACAAGAACTAATCATCTTAAAAATAAATCGAAAAAATTTTTTTAGTACATTTTTTCCCTCTTGAAAGTACCGTCCACGTGAAGCTGTAAGAATTGTTGGTAGCGCTGTTGCTTGTTCGTATCATCCGTCGAAAACTTGTAGAAAGCAAAGTTTTTAAATAATGTAGTGATAATAAAAAGTTGTTAAAGTAAAAACTTGAATATTTTTTTCTAAAGCCGCCTTCGCCACTTCCGCCGAAATGTATGAAGTAACTTCTGTACTGTTCGTCTCATGCTTATCTTTATCATTTATATCATTATTATTATCACTGTTTGAATGTTTCTGATAAGGTTGATCAGAATCCCAGCGAGTTTTGGACTTGGAAATTACCTAGTAGTAATAACAATCATAATAATTATAATAAAGTAATATAATATTAATTATAACCATTAACAAATATATTTATATAAATGTAATAAGCCTTATAAAATAAGAACAAAAGAAAAAAATAAATAAGTATATTAGTTTATATATAAATAAGGAATATATATAAATATATGTAAACATGATGAGGATTTAAAAAAGGTAATATAAAAATAAGAATAAAAGAAAGATAGCAAATAAAATTATAAAAATTACAAAAATAAATCTAGAAAAAAAAATAACAACTAAAAAAAACTTTAAATAATAATAATAGTAATAATGATAATACCTTTTCCTCTTTCTTTTGCTGCTGGAAGGCCATAAGGCGCTCAACATTTTCTTTTTTTAAATATGAAAAAACTGATCCTTTCTTTTCTGCTAAAGTTCCCAACATCCGTCCTCTATCGTCTATATTAATAATGTTGATAACAACTTTCAAAAGCACAAAAAGTCTTTTACTTTCATTAAAACTTTAATAAAAAATAAACCCGAAGACAACTTTTTCTTTGTAGTGTACATAAATGCCACTTTGTCGTCGGTAAACACGTGGCGTTCACTAAAAGAAGACGGAACTTTTGGCGGTGGAAATAAAACGGACCCGTCAAGGTCGAGAGTGGTCGAAGGGAGAAACGTTAAACTTTCATAATTGTGGCTTACCTCGAGGCTCTTTAGAAAATATACATAATTTCAACAACAATAGTAATAATAATTATAATAATAATACTTTTCTTTTTTCATTACTCTGTTTTACTGGAACAATAGTTTGATCGTACTGAGAAAAATGATCAGAATCATAAACATCCTTTTTTTATACAGAAAAAACGTTTATTGTTATAATAATGAAAGTAAGATAAACGTAAAAATAGAAATAATGAATAGAAAATATCAAAAAAACATTAAAAAATAGAGTTTCATAAAGATATAAAAAGAAAGATATAATTAACGTCGTATTTATCGGCATTTTCGAGAGCTCCCAGCCAAAAGTTTTTAGTAGTAGATTGGCGCGCAGAACTTGGATAAAAAAATGAGAAAAATAAAAATAAATATAAACTTTATAAAGAAACATCGATAATTTATATTGATATGATCATAATAAATATATAATAATAAATAAACTTTGAAAGAACGTCGGAAAAGAGAACTTTATCAGAAAAGTTTTTTTTTGGTATGCTCCCAAGAGAGTCGCTGCTAAGGCGTTTATAGCCAATCCCAAACATATCGGTTTTTGGTTGGAGCTAAATAAAAAAGGCAGCATTACTATTGGTGCTCTATTATATACTTTTAGCGAATGGTGGCTTTCGTACAGGTGCTAGATCCACCCCGTGGGGGGCAAAGGTAAGCTCTTTGACGAATTCTGGTTGGTCGTCTAGAGCGTCTATCGCGTGCTATTGATTGTTATAAATAAAAAAAATTCTCTCATTTTTAATTATGAATTTTACAAGAACATTGGAAAATAGTTAAAAATAGTTTACTTTTTTATAGTTAAAAAATTTTTATAAAAAATTATTCATAGGAAATTAAATGCTCAATATAATTCTCAATATTTATTAAATAATTTTCAAGTTTTATTTTTTTTGTATATAAAAACTTTAAAAAAAATTTTTTATAGTTGTTTTATTATTGAGTTTATAAAAAAAATGAAAAATTTTATAACTGGTTAACTTTTTGTTTCTTTTTTAAACTATTCAGTAAAAAAATATTTTTTAATATAAAAATTTTAACTTTTAATTTTCAGTTGAGATAAAAAATGCATAAAGTTCGAACTTTTTTTAACTGTTTTCGCTTCATAGCAAAAGTCACTCGTGGCCCAATCCCATGTCCTGTTGATTTGATAGGACCAATTAAAAATAGAATTAAACAGTAAAATATCCTTAAAACTTTTTAATTATTATTTTAAAAATTCTATAGGATATAATTAAAAAAAACTTGTATTCGTCTTTTTTAAAGAGTTCCTAAAAAATACTTTTTTTTCAAGTTTTATAATGAATTATAATTAGCCAAAAAAGGCAAAACCTTTACTTTTTTACGTGACCAATCAAACCGCAAGTTTTATCATGTCTTAATTATTATCTTATTTTCAAAACTGTTCGTTAGTATATTTATTTGGAAATTATATGTAATAACAATAGCAATAAAAATAATGATAATAATAGTAATAATAATAAAAAAATGAAAGTCACCTGGCTTCCACCCCATATTCATTAAAAGTTGCACACCGATGCCCTCATTAACAGGAGAAAGTAAGTTTTCTGTACAGGTGTACGAAAATTCTTTTTTCCTTAAAAAAGTAATAATAAAAAATAATGCATAGAAAAGTTTGAAAATAATATTAGCATAGAAAATAAGGAATAAACTTTTTTTGATATATAATTTTATTTCATTATTATTTACTATCACAATTTATATATTATTAAAATAATTATTAATAATATATATTTTTATAAATGTATATAATAGTAACTTTTTTTTATCAGTAACAAAAAAAAATTTAAAATTGCTTACTTTTTGTCTATAAAAGTAAATTTTTTCTTACTCAAACTTTTATTATCGAAATGTATTAATATACTTTTTATAATAATAATTATGATTTACAAAATATGTAAATATTTTTTTATAAAAGTTTACGCATTTTAAAAATATAATACTTTTATAATTGTTTAGCTAATAATTCTTTTTTATCATTATTAATAATAATATTGAAAATAAGAAAATTTTCCTAAATAAAAGTAAATGTTTTCTATAAAAGAAAAAATAAAAATACTTTGAAATTTTTATATGAACTGGAATAATTTATAATAATAATAAAGTAATAAAATGTATAGAAAAAATATTTTTTTGTATATAAAAAAAGCATAAAATAATAACAAACGAATAATGCATAAAAACAAATCCTCGACATTTCAAAAATATGAAATCAATAAAAAATATTAAAAAAAAATAAAAAATATAAACTTGAAATAATTTAATAAAAATAGTCCTCTAAAGTTTATAATAAATTTTTTTAAAAAAAATCTTCCTCAATTCTTCTAATAATCATAAAATAAAATATATACACATAAGTAATAAGTACTTTCAGAATTTAATACTTTATTCTTTTTTAAAATTTTTATAAACTTTTTTTAGAAATTTGTATAAAGTTTTAAACCCGGAATCGATTTCATGTGCTTTTTTTGTTACAATTTTGTTTTCCAAAAGTCCAAATTCACCATAATCTTCTTCATCCATAAAATCTTCCGGTTTATATTTTTTTTCTCGTCTACACAATAGTAATATATACTTTATAAATATAATAATAAAAATAAAAAATAAATAAAAAATGATATATATAAATAATTTTAAAAGGATTTCATTTTTGCCTTAGCTACAAACTATTAATTAGATATTATGAATTATAACTATTAATATTTTAGCAGAAAAATAAAAACTTTAATTAAGCAAAAAAAAATTTTATTATAATAAATAATTATAAATTAATTTTCATTTAAAAAATTCTTATCTAAAAGTATTTGTAGCATATTTTAATTTTATAAACTTGATTTAATATAAATCAATATAAATTTTTATTTGTTTACTATTAATAATTGCAAAATATTACAAAATTTTAATAACTTAAATAGCTATAATTTAATTAAATATATATATAAAATTAAAGTAATTTCCTATAATAATTTTCTAATTTATTATTTATTATTACAAAAATAATTATTCATAATTACAGTATATAGAGTGGACTTATAAAATTATAATTAATAGAATTTTAATATAAAATTTATTGTATATATGCAATTTCAAGATTTTTTAATAACTTTCAAAAATTGAGATGAAATAAAAATTTTACAGATTTTATTAATCTACAGAGAATTTAGTGAAATAACAAAAAATACGTAGAAAAAATTTTAAGTTTTTTTTTATAAAAAGATACTAAGCAAAAACTTTTACTTTAAATTTTATTAAATACAATAAAAGATAAAAAGTAGCGTGAATAAATATGTATTAAAGATCTCACTATTTAACAAAAAATGATAGTCACGTGAACAAAATCTTACAAATAAATTTATTAGGTGTATAAAAACGTTATAATACTATTTTTATGTATATAAAAATATTAATTAAAAATATATAAATTATTAATAAAACTATGAAAACTAAGAAAAGAATTGTAAAAAATTACTCAAAGGAAGAGGGATTCCAACCCTCCTTTGAGCCCACCGTATTATAGTAGCCGGCCTACAAAAAATAGTTATATTTTTTAAAATCTACCTTTGAATTTATAATAAAAAAAATATACCGAAAATCCCCCTGTGAAAGCCCCATGAAATCTGCGTCTACCTTGTGCATCTAAAACCTTAGAGAATTATATTTTTTACATTTAAGTAAAAAGTAAATTTTCTTTAATTTTTATAAAAAAGAAAAATAAAAGATGAATATTTATATAATAAAGAGCTAACAGGAAGTTCATAAGGCTTAAGTTTTCTTTTCTTTAACGAAGAAGGATCATCTTCACAAACTTCAATAGGCGTGCCATAAAATACTTCTGACATTTTAATTTACATAAGACGTTCTTAGTTTTACGAGATGCAAATTTTTACTTAAAATAAGAAATTTATATTAAATATATAATAAAAAATGCTTTTTTGATGAAAAAAGGAAGTCTTCCACAAATGAAAGTTTCTCTGTATGATGGACGTCTACCCCCGCATTTTTATGCATTACTAAATTTTATTAGTAAATATGGTTGTATAAGGTATTTTTTTATTATACCTTTCTCTTCCTATTTAAAGGACATTAATTAAAAACTGCTTTTATTAATAGGTATATAATATATATTAATAATAAAAGTAAAAACTTTATACAAAACAGAAAGTAATTATTTTATTTAAAAATTACTACTTTGCTTCGCTTCAATGTTTATAATTTTTTAACCTTAGTCGTTAGAGTTGCTAAAAGTTTATAGCTTGGTTTTAGTAAGAGTATGATAGTTAATAAATCGTTTAATTACTGTTAAAGCAAAACAATACATTTTTAGTGTCAAACTCTATACAATGTAATATAAAGTTGCAGGCCGCAACGCATTTTATTCATAAATTTAATCTCGCTTTTGTATTATAGATTAAGAATCTTTGGGATTTGCCTGCGACATATTTTTTTCTAAAAGCGAAGATACTTAAAGAAGTCAGAAAACATTAAAAAAGGAAAAGCGGTGAGCAAATATTAATTATGGCGCCGTTGTATAATATCTTTTTTGAGCGTCCTTCTCAGTTATCTGTTTAACGCGATAACTGTGAGAAAACCGTTATTTACACTGAATTATTTATATATTTATTGATTTTGCAGAATAAGAGCATCTTACAGCAAATATGAAAGAGCAGATGCGCTAGTTTAAATAAAGTTAGGTTGAATAAAGTAAGTAGTACTAATTATTCGTCAATATAAGCAACATTATTTATCTGAAATAAAAGACAGAAATAACACTAATTTAGTTATCGCTAATACCTTATGTTAAAAAATTTTGTTGGTATGTTGTTAAAAAGTAATACAACTTTTGACTAATTTTTCCCCTTTACTTTTTTTATTTTTTTGTTATATATTTAATTTTTTTATTTTTTTTATTACCCTACATTAAAATAAGGTGCTCTCATAAAGTAAATCTTTAAAATTATAGTAAAATAGCTTTAAATAAAACTAACTTCTAACAACTTGACTAATTAATATCACTCTAGCTAGTATTCTATTTTTTTTATAATTAAGTAGGGGCATACTATGTTATAAAATTTCTAATTTTCACTAGCGAACCGCTCTAGTCACGAAAATCGCTAAAAATTACTTTTTTTTGAAAAACTTAATTTATATAAATTGAAACTTAATAATTTATAATATAAAGTATTTAAAGTATTAATATTTTAGTACTACAATAAATTAGTTAACAATTAAATTTATACTTTAACTTTTGTACTATTTCAAGCCAACCTGAAGAATAGTTATGGAGATTTCTGGAAGTAAGCTTACTTTGTAAAGAAAAACAAAAAATATAAAAAATAAATAAGAATAATAAATTTGTGAGCTAAAAATAAACTTAATCTTTTTTAATAGAATTAGTAATGTGTATAAACTTAAGCCACAGAAATATTATTTAAGAAAGTTTAGAAGCCAAAGTATAAGACTAGTTACAGATTCTATTCGTATTACTGCTCTACGTACATTTAATTTAGGCAAAACTGTTTTTGTATACACAAATATTTTTTTTTATTTACAAAAAAATTAAAATTTATAAGTTAACAAATCTTTTATAGAAAAGTGTGTAACCGTTTAAAATTAACTTTATAGTGTTTTAGTAAATACATGTTCCTTTTGTTTTATAAACCAAATTATTCAAGTTATAAGTACCAACTCTTCAATGAAAAAGTTTCTTATATTAAGTAAAATTGTTCGAAATAATTTTTTTATGGTATTTGGTAGATACATTTTTTTTTAAATAATTATTAAACTACTCGTAATCAGTATATGTAAATTAAGCATAAGTATTCGAATTATTATAATCTAGGGTTCTGGTAAACGAATACTCCTTTTCCTTTACTATTTATTAAGCTACTAGTAATACAATCTTTAATAGGAAAGTACCTTACATTAAAATTGTTCTAAATCTACTTTTTGATAGTGGTTTTGGTAAGTATATACACTTTTTTTTAAATAATTAAGTAATAGTTTCAAAATTATTTGTTATAAGCAACCATATATTTATACAAAAGTTTATCTTTTGTTAAAGCATATTTTTCGAATTAACTTTTTTATAGTGTTTCTGTAAATCCATACCCCTTTTTCTTAAAAGGGTTGAGTTAAGAGTATCCAAATCTTAAAACGCAAGGAGTTTGTTTGAAATATCAACTTTTTATATAGTACTTATGTAAATATAAACATTTTTTTAAAAAGTTTGTTTTAGATAACAAATATTAAAGTTATGAATAACCAAACCTTTATAGGAAAGTGGAGCGTACTTTATGCAAAACTGTTTAAATTAACTATTTTATGGTGTTTTTTTTATCACATTTCGATCTTTTTAACAAGAATTTTTAAATGACGGGTAACCAAATCTCTATTAGAAAATTATATTTAAAGTTAAGCATAAATTTTCTTTAATAACAGTATTTATAGTGTTTTTGTAAATATAAACTTTTTTTTTTTACAAAATTATTATCATAACTTTTTTAATTAAAGGTGTCTTAAATTAAGCAATTATTTGTTCAAAATTAATATTTTATTTATATATACTCAACTTTTTTACAAAGTTTAAGTGTTTTAAAAGACATTTATTCTTCTATAATAAAATCTTTAGTAGAAAAGTTAATAGCCTTGTTAAAATTTTTTTTGAAGACTCATAATTGAATGCTGCGAACAAAAATCCCAAATAGTTAGCCTTTATACGTTTTAAAAATTTTAAACACGAAACTTTTATAAAAATATGACAGCAGCTATATAAAAACTTAAAGGCTTTACCCTATACTGTTACTAACAAGCCTCGCTTGTAGTAATAGTCCGTATTTTAAGGCTCATATCCCTTGAGAAAACTTTAAAACAGAAAAACAACACATCTGAGGAGTTAAAGAATGATGTTGACGAGTGAATCAAGTAAAGTTTTTTGGCCCTTGTTTTTATCCTTTACAACTGCTTACTAACTCAGTGCTAAAATTAAAGTAAACACCAACCCAGAAACTTTGTTTTGTATAAAATCCATTAGAGACAGGAAACTACACTTTAAAATATCAAACTATTTTTTTATGGATTACTATTACTATTATTACTTTAATCGTAGTACTACTGCTACTAATAATAATTTTATTTGTAACACGTTTTGCGGAAAAGAGATGTTTTTATAAAAGTATGTTTTAACAAATAATACATCGTGTTATGAAGTGACCTTTTAGATCACTAATTGAGTTTATTTTATTTGGTTGTTTGATTTTGGTTTAAATAAGCACTGCAGACTAAAATGGACAACTACAAGGCAAACTAGCGCGAGAGAGGAGAAAAATCCCATAAATCTTTCACTAAGTGTGTATATATATATATAACGGTCCACTAGTGCTATAATCATACATTTTTTTAGACCAAATGGCAAGAATTAATTACCTTTCACAGTCTTTTAATCTAAAAGAATGCATCATACCAATTTACTAGCGTTATAGGCCTCCAAGATCGGTTGCCGAGGAATCTTTAAAACACAGTGAGAGCTAAACAAAAAAATTGTGATCTGAAACGCTCTCCTCTCTCGAAATAAACCTATTTTTCAGCATTAATTATACTTAGTGTATTTATAATTCTATAAAAAAAATTTTAAAATATTAAATTTGCGAAGGGTTTTCTTTTTTAAATATATCTACTTACTAAAGAATATGAAATGCAGACTAATAAAATTTGACTACTATCAATAACTATGCGACATCGGTACTAATTTCTGACACCCATACTGGAGTATTTTAAACTTTGTTAATAGACGTGGCCCTGCGTGTAAAGTTCTACGTATCTTTTTCGTGGTATAAAGAAGAATGTTTTTTTATATTATTGCTTAGTTTTTTTATGTGGTTTTTTCTTATTTTTAACCATTTAGACCCTTTGTGCTAACTTTTGCCATATAAAAACTTATTTGTATTTAAAAATAGTAGATATATTCTGTTGACCTAAATTTTAAATAGTATACCAGCTATTTTACTAGCATTTAAAGCTTTTGTAAAGTGACTTATTAAACGCCTTAAAACGAAGACTTCTCTTTCGAGATTAGGGTTACTTTATTGTTTTAGCTAATTATTTCGTTGCTTTTACGTCATAAGCAAAAATTAGTAAAATAGGGTTTGGATTATCAAACAGAATTTTAGAAGTTTTATAGTATTAATTTAAAATTACAAAATTTTTAACAACTTTTAGCTAGGTTGTAAGTATTATTTTAGTCAATTAATTTACTCTTAGAAAATGTGCTTTATTTATTTTGTGGCGAGAAGGATGACTTCCATTGTATATAAGTGAACAGTTTCCTGTTAAAATAATAAAAGCTTTTTTTAGGAGATTCTAACAAAGGCATCTAACTTTTTTTTAACAAAACTTTATTTCTTTTGGTGAGTCATACTCCAATTTTTTGCATGTTCGCTGAACCTTACTACGTTTATCCTTATGACTCGTCCTCAGTTTATTGTTTTTAAATTTTCACTTAGTAACTAATTTTAAAAGCTAACGCAGCTCTGGCAAAGTCCTTAACGTTTGTATTACTATTCGAAAGTGACTGTAGTAAGAAAACTATTGGGAAAGTTTTTGCTTTCTTTCTACTGATAACAGCGATTTTATCCTCGTCGAAGCTACGTACCCTACTGCGCCAGCTTCTCTCGTACCACCTAATGACGCTAGCGAACTGGTGTCATCGTTGGAAAATTACCCATTTTATCACAAAGAAGTGCAATACTCTACCGCTGCTAACCGTTGAAAATAAAGTAATTGCTTGGTATCCTGAGGCGAAAAACACTACCTGGGGATCGTTATCGACAATAAGCTTTGGGTGGCGGTCGCACGTAAACTATATCGCGGAGAATTTCAAGGCGGCGGTTCAAGCCCTTTACCCTTTACTTTGAGCCCGAAACGTACTTACACTGCAACAACAAACGACGCTTATATTTGTTGTGCATCCGACCGATCATGACATAAATACGCGTCTACTGCCAGGACCTACGACTCACCGGAAATAGCCTCTTCGCTCCAAGTGAGACAAAACAAGCTGCTACGCATTCTGTCGGGCGCGCGTTGGTTTGTTCGCAAAGATGTCTTACGTTAAGACCTCCGGATTGAACCTCTGGGTAACGTTTTTTGACGCGATGCCATCGCCACCTACGATCGGCTCAATCAGCAAACCAATCGATTACTGGCAGATGAGATGAGGTCAACTACGAAATCTGGGCCGGCATCCCGCTATTACCGATTGCGCAATGGACTCTAAATATATGATAATGGGATAGGGGTAGAATTATTTTTATTATATATATATATATATGAGCTTGCTTTAACAGAAGCTTAAAGCTAATGTGTACGCTATCACCTTGTTGGGAGCTTGTAAATTCAGTGTTTCCTTTTGCTACTCGATCGAGCACCAGGGAGTATCATTTTTGAAAATTGATAGATCAGTTCCTAAAAATACGAATGGACTCCTTTAAAGTACCTACAAGTGACGGGAATAATTTACTGGAAAGAATATTACGGTAACTACATAAAAACTTAAATAATTTCGACTTCACCCTATACTGTTAGTAGATATTAAATATAGCTCATTTTATAGGCTTAAAATTCTTGAGACAACCTTAAAAGAGAAAATAAATATTTCCGAAAATTTAAAGAATGATGTTAACGATTTACTTCGATACAAAAAACAATATTTTGAAATTACAAGAGATTATGAGAAGTTATTTGATTTTATATACGTCAATGTGTTTTATACAACTATTTTTGTCGTCTAGTGCTAAAGTTCGAGTAAACAATTTAAAACAGAAACTACGTCTCGCAAAAAGTCAATTAAAGACAGGAAACTACCTTATAAGAAATCTATTACTTTATAATTTATTACTATTATTATTATTTTTAAGATCAACGTGTTTTACTTTAATAGTGAACTTTTTACACCAAGAAGAGCTAAACAGAAAAAAGGAATGCGATATTAAGTTAAAGGAAACTTGTATGCCATACCGCTCCTCTCTTTCGAGGTTCTTCTACTTTCCAACAGTAAATCTTTATACTCTTTAGATTTTTTAATTAGAAAAGAGGATTTAGAAGATCTGACTGTAAAAGGGTTTCCTTCTCTAAAAAATACTAATAAAGAATTGTTAAGTAAGATCTCTTCCATTTTTAGACAATTTACTCTTCAAGTCGAAAGTTTGCTGTACATAAGAAGAAGTCATTTAATACAACAGTTAATTGTGCTTTACTGTTTTAAAGTAGGTTTTTGTTTATATATAAAAAATTTAGAAAAGTTCTCGTCTTACATTATTCTACAAGTAACTAGCTCATTCAGCCTTTTATTATAAAATTTGTTACGCTGATATACTTTTATATATCACTTTAAATTGTTCCGTTTAAACTCGCCCAGCGGTTAGTTATTACGTTCTTAAAAACTTGTAATTAAGTAGGAGACAATAAAATCTAAACTAAAAAAAACTTTTTGTTGAATACAAGTAAAGTAGCTTTGGAAGCCCTAATTTTAGTTACGGAAAGAAAAATTAAGACTTAGTTATATTTCTAACTTAACATTTTTTTTTTTACTAAATCTTAACTATTATCGGGACCAGAAATAAAATTTTAAAATCAATTAATTTATATTTCCTTTATATTTGTGTAATAAAATAGTAATTATAACCACAACTATAAATTCGCAGAAAATTTCAGAAGGCAAGTATTCTATTAGTGACTTGGCCTTTCCCACTTTCCAGCATCTCAATGGTTTGTTGTCTGCAATTTATTACTTCCCCGCTTTAATTAAGTTAAAAAGAATTCAAAAACAATTCCAACACGGCAGCCGTCAGTTGTTTATGCCACTTTACGTGGATGATATCAAAAGTATAATTAATTTTATAGTTTAAGCCATTTATTAATATTTAGACTAAGCGTATAATATATTTTAATTCACTAAGTTATTTTTTAATTTTACTTTTATTAACTGTACATACGATTAAAGGTAAAGCTTTATCTATTTACATTATTAACTTTTATTTTTATAAAAATTTTAGTATATAAAGATACTTTTTACTACTGTAGTATGAGTTTTTCTAATATAAATTAGTACTTCATTATTTAATTTTTATTAATCTTAGCTATAGCCTACGTTTTCTAACATTTAATTAGAACTTCTTATAATGAACTATAATGTAATTTAGGATATAATGAGCCTTATATCTTATAATATGCCAGGTAAGTTTATAATATTTCCGCGATAATACTTTAAGTAATAAATAACAACTTTAACAGTAGATCAATTATAATTTTTATAAAAGAAATTTTTAATCTTTATTTTTTAATTATTATTAGTATATGGGCTACTCTTTAAGTGCTGCTGTACAACTGCAGGGATCAACTACGCGCATCTACCCAACAAGCGTCCCCTACGGTGCGGGGTTTCAATTTTTTTATCTATTAGTTTTTTATGTTTTGTTTCACCAGGCCGCTAATATTCTTTTTATAGTTTTTACAATTTGTAAATTTACAGGTTTTGAGTCTTAAGCACTTAGGTGTTATGTTTAATGAATGATTAAATATAGTATAACATTGTATTGTAGACAAAAATTTTCTCTAACACAAGCTTTTTAAAATTCAAGGCCTGGAAGTAACTATTTAAAAATTTAAAGACTCCGAAAAGCACAACATTTAATGATACAAGACCACAACAACAAAATAGAAAAGAACGTCTTGTGCAAGCCATTCCATTTTTATATTTGTTTTGCACTCGAGTGGGAAGGCACCCTCGTGAATACATAATTCAAAATTTGTCTACTTCTTTTACAAATTCTTTATGCTTGCGAACAGAATTTATTAATTTTGTTACATATTAGTTTCAATATTAATAATTAATTTTTTATGCCTTTAATTTGGATTGTTATTTCAAGTTATACTCAATAGTTTCTGAACAATTTTTTTAATACTACTGAAAATTTTTTCACAAGTAAAGCTGTTTTATTTTAAAATTTAGGTAATCGAAATTTATATAAGCTCTTTTATTTAGTTCACCTATTCGTAGAAAAAAGTTTATTCATACTGTTCCGAAATTTTATTTTTTTTAATTTGAGAGAAGTATCTTTATGATTTTGTTTTGTTTCAGATTGTATTTTACCTATATGATTAGAGTTATATTTTACTGAAATTTAATAAAGCTTTTGTTGATTATTTGTTATAATCATTGAAAGAAGTTAAGTTGATATTCGAGTTTGTAATTACCACCGAAATATTTGCCGTTTTATTTAAAAAAAACAATACTTCTAAGTGCTTTTAGTATAGATCAGTATTTATTATCACGTGAACATAACAAACCTTACGATTTTTCTGTTTAAACTTTTTTTTGATTAGATTTGACAGTGTTATGTGAAAGCCTTAAAAATCAGTTTAATATATTTACTTGATTTAAGTTTAGAGTAAATAATTAACACCATTGGAAATCCACAGTGCCAACGTGCTTTAAAAACTTATTTAAAAAAAATCTTTTTATAACCAAAAAAAAAGAGTTAATTAGTGTTATTTTCTAAGATATAATAAAAGAAAAACGTAAACTGTTTAGATCGAAAAATGGCTTAAAATTTCTTATAAAAGAAGTAACCAAGCCTGTAGGATGTATTATATAAATTATGCCCTTTTAATTCATGCACTTTTGTAAAAATTATTTTAATTCTCTACTCGCATTGCTTAATAAACTTTTTTAATTAAAAACGACTTATCTGGAGGAAATGTTTATATTTAAATATTTATAATTTTTTTTCAAAAAATAAATTAATATAAATTACCGCAGAGAAATAGACTTTTTTGCAAGTTAAGTATTTTTCTATTTAATTTTACTTTTTAATTCTTACAAAAAAACTTGGAATAAGTTAAAGTTCTAAGCTAATAAATTAAACTGCAATTAGCGTTCAGAGAATTTTCTAAGTCATTATTTTCTAATGTTATAAATAAAAATTGCACTTAAATTAAAATAGTTATTAAAAAGAACTAAATTAAAAAGCCAGGAATTCTACAAATTCTAATATTAGTATAATTTATAATTTAATTTAACCTTTGCAGGTATCCTCTTTATGTTTCTGGTGAGGAGTCTTCTCGCGTCCAACACGCCCTTCTGCTTTTTAATAAAAATATTCAGCAAGCTTTACAAGTAAAACTTAATTTTTAAGAGAATTTCACTATTTAATAAAATTATTTACGAAGTTCTTATATGGTGATAAAAATAGTCAACAGAGTTTAGTAAAAACAGTTTTTTTTAAAAATTCTGCATGTAAATATTAGTTTGTGTAATCTGATATCAACTTTAAAATTCCTCAACTTTCTTAATAGCAAGAAAAATTTATCAATTTTTAACTTTTAAAAGAATTATTATTTAGTAAAATATATTTATTCTTGAATAACTAGTCAATAAGGTTATTTATTTGATTATTTAACTTTATAAACATTAAAAATTTAATATTTAAAAATAGTTTATAGAAGCAAAATATATATTTGAACAATAAAAATTGTTTTATTGAATATTTTAAACTAAAAAACTATATTTAAAAAAAAAGTAAAACTTTTTTTCATGACAAACCGTTTCCTGTTTAAAGTAATTGAATTATTTAAGCTTATATGAAATTTGCAAGTAAAACTAATTAGATATCAAAAACTCCTGAAAATTTTAATTTTCGGTTAAATTTAAAAGACTGCTTCATCTTTGGTTTTGTATAAACAATTAAATTTTTTTTATCTTTTAAAACTTTCTAATAAATACAAAAAAGCAAATACAAAAACAATTAGTTGTAACTTAAATAATATTTACTTTGTTAACCATTTTCTATATTACTTAAATAGCTTTTGAATAGATTTATTATTTTGGAAATAGAATTAAATCTTATTATTCTATTATAAAATAAGTCATCACTTTATTGTTATACTATATTTATAAAAGTACTTAATACTTATTAATTTGCGTTACTAGGAATTTAATTTTTTAATAAACCATTTTTTTATTAAGCAACTGCAAAAATTTAGCGAAACTACTGAGTCTGAACACGCTGTAATTCGGGATGCTTTAAGAGAACTTCACAAAAAACTTAATAACTTCCTCCGAACGTTTTAATTTTACAACAGAAGGCATTTGTATTAAAAGCTATGTTAAGCTGTCAGAAGAACTGGCAGCGTTTTCAATATCCTTTTTAAATTTTATAAGTAAAGTTTTAGTTGCATTATAATTCAAGGGGCTCTATAGTTTTGTCCAAATATATATTTTTTGTCCTCTACAGGATTTCCTTTGATGTTTTTTAAAATAAATTAAAAATTATAAATAATTTTTTATGAAGCAAACTCCAAATTTTAACAAAATTTGCATTTTCTGTATGGACATAAAATAATTAGTTTATAGTAAATAACCTAGATTAGGTCTTCAAAGTAAAAGTAAAATTTTTTTGGTGTAGATTTAATAAATTTACTTGGAGGAATTTTAAGATTATTAACAGCTCCAAATACTGGCGTACTTTAGTTGTGCGAAACTCCATCAATATTGTGAGTTCGCTGTGAAATGGTTAATTTCAATTTGAAAAAACTTATTAATTTTTAATAACCAATTTGTTTAATTACCCCCCCCTGCATATTTCTTAATATTATAAGGGAGCTAAATATTGCCCCGTAGATGGTTGAAAGCAAAGAGAGCATATTAGTAAAAATTAAAATGTGTTCTTGTATTGTTATATTTTTAAATTAGAATCTAAAAATAATTGAAAAATATTGTTTAATGTATTCTTAATAACAAATATAATTTACGAATATATTGAATACAATTACAAACAAATATTAAAAAATAAACATTGTATGTAATGTGAGGGCTATTCTTTCGAGGGCTTGTCACTACATTTACAAAGCAGGTGGGAACACGTTGGCCAGATTTTTAATTTGAGGTGGCATGAGAGTTTAGAGTTATTTAACAATTTATCAAGTTTTTACTTTTCAATGACAAACTTAAATTTTATTTATAATTTATGAGTTCTCGAAACTATATGTATGTGATATTAATAAAGTAAATTATAGTTAACCCCGTTTAAAACGCGGTTGAAGAGACCAATTTTTTGTGTTATAGTCGAGTAAAATGATTTCATACAAAAAAATAAACAATTCTTTCTATGCAATTTATAACAAAATAGAAATTATATCGTACAAAATAGATTAAAAAATTCGCGTTGTAGCCAGGTACTTATTCCACCGAAAAAGTTATGTGCGATAAGTAAAAAATGTTTTATACAAGGACATCATATTTCTTTTTCTTATAACTAAATAAACAATCCATTTAAAATAAAATAAAAACTTTTCTTTATGGCCGAGATACCCGTTTTTCGCAGAAAAATTTATGATGAGTCATGTAAAATAATTTTATACAAGAAAAACATTTCTTTATTTATGTTATATATTAACACGACATATTGTAAACAACACCGTGTAAAATAAAGTAAAAACATTACTGCGCAGTAAGGATTGCACATAAGAAGTTTGCACTAGCGATAATAACCTTAATTTCATTTGTTTACGCGTTAATAAAATCTTTTTATCTAGGCTTATTCAATGGAGTACTCTGTAAACTCAACTATTCATATTTTGAACCTTGTGTTTAATAAAATGAAATATATCTTTTTCGGACATGATTGCTTGCTTCCGAATACTAGGCTTCTGAACTTATTATTTCTCTTCTCCGTTTCCTCATCCTCAGAAATTATTTTCCACTTGGGCTTACTTTCGCAGCTATCACGTCAATAACATTATTATCAGTTAAGAATTCACAATTAAAATAAGTTAGTCATCAAAATGCGAAGTTAACTTCCAGGTCATTTGTGTCACAATACCGAGAAGAATTGCTAATCCTCTTTAGCCATGTAGCATGTAATATCAAAACATGCTGGATTCCAGTTTCTTTGTAATTTAAACC